TGTACAGGACAGAGTTTTGTTACCCAATTGTATGTGTGGCTTTGCGTTGTCTATGATAGCTTCCTCCCACACGTGCATTAATGGAATTGGTCATAACATCCACATGCAAAACTCTCCTGAAAAGGTTTCAAGACTTGAGACTTTTTCTGGGTAATATAAATCATGCTGCTTGTTACGGCACATAATTCTGCTGGCCAGTTTTTGCAATGTAATGATAAAAAAGCTATGTTTTGAAACATTTCCTTTCAATGGCAGCACAAACCCCCATATATCAGGCAGTCAAACAACAAACCCGATAGTTGAAAGATCTACTTGCGCTACTCGCATAATTAGTTGTTTTTGGCGCCATCGGCAAGCGCAGTCTGCATGTGCAGTGTCTGCATGCGTGTTGCACCTCTGTATTATTACGCACCGGGAGCTTTTTCGCAAACCCCAGCGGTCCGATGAGATCCTCGCTCGGCCATCCGTCTCTCACTCGCCCCCTCGTCTATCCCACTTCCCTCCCCTCCCTTCACGATGCCATCACAGAGGAGCGAGCGCAGAGGCCGAGGCTGCAGTTGAAGCCGCGCACCGTGGCCGTGCCACTGAACCAGGTGGCCAACCCGCAGTCGTCCATCTTCGGAGGCGCACGGCCACGCGAGGAGAAGCCTAGCGAGGAGAAGCCAGAGGCGGAGGAAAACTGATGTTTGCCGTCGTAACTCACTCACGCGTCCCCACGCCATCGTCCCTTCATGGCAGCATCCTTACAGCCACCCAACCCCACCCAGCGCCACCCAGCCCCCTCTTCCTGAACCCCCGACCCATCACCCCCTTCCTCTCCCCGACATCGGCAGTCGTTCTTAGCCTCGACGCAAATTATCCCTCGTTCAGAGCGGAGGATTTCCCTTTTTTTCTTGCTTAAAAAAGAGAAAACTTAAAAAAAAAGTCGATCAAATAAAATTTTAAAAAAGCAGCTGATCCTAAAAGCAGTCGGTGAATCAATTTACCTTAATCAACACTCTCCCTGTCGCTGCCATTGTGGTTGAAACATGTGGTGTATAATGGTGGCGTACGTCTTGTAAAAAAAAAGAAATAAAAGAAAAGAAAAAAACCCGATAAGGTTATTAATAGTAATATTAATACGTACTCCAGTGTTAGTGTGAACTGGGGAGGGGGGGTGGGTGACTTGAGTCATCGTCATTCACAAACCTGCCTGTCTTCATCCCTCCTGCCAAACAGAGCTTTGGAAGTTATAATGGCAACGAATGATAGTGGGACTTCATTACTGCAGATTATGTAGAAGAAGAAACAAAAACGCAGCCCGCCGTTTGCAATTTCCTTTCGTTTAGTCGCTGCTTCGTTCAAGACAGTTGACGGGAACAGTGCAGGCAGTGTTCAACTGAAGGTTGCTTTCTCTCGCGAATTGAACGTGCATAGGCTTAAAAGTGCATGGGCATTCACAAGATACATCCCTGAACTGTGTTGCTGCAGTAGAACTGAAGGTAAAGTTCTCGCCCTCAGCATGGCGGTTTAGCGCTGCATGGCAAGACAATATAAGCGTGATTATTTTTTTTCTTTGCCTCAATTCCCCTTCTTCACCCTGCCCTTTCAAGTCACTGTCTACCCTCCTCTCACCCCTCGTTACCCCCCCCCCCAACCACCACGAAACCCTCCACCGGTGCACTATGTGCCGATGACGACATACCTTGCCGTTAATAGATTTTTAGAACTCTTGCGTTGGTGTGCCGTTTTAAGAATTGATTTCAAATAAACTCTTTGTTTTTTTTAACCAAACGCATTTACAAACTCATCCGCCATAATGCTGTCACCTTGCCAATCAAAAGCTGGCATGGGGGGGTGGGGGGTGACCGCACGATTTGTCGCTGTGGACACCTCACCTGGCGTGGCGGTGGCGAGCAATCACGGTCCGAGTTCATAGAAATAAAGGGGGCAGGTGTCGGGGGGGGGGGGGGCATCATTGATTCAACTAAAAGTGGTTCTGTTATAGCAATAGCGAAGCAGCTCCTTTGCAGAGCCTGTCCAAGGTCATGTAAGGATGTATTATTATTATTTTGTAATTGGCTACCGCACTGCATCACCACATGTGACCCGTCGATGGATTGCCATTTGAGCTGCGGGTGTGTCCGATGTGTGGAGGGGGGCACCGCGAGACTTGCTGCTCTATCGATGAAGTGGGGTGCGATCGTGTGCGCCGCCGCTGCATGCGTTGTCGTACGGGCGGCAGCAGTGGCACCCAGCCGAGTACCGATGTAGCCGCCGATGAACTGCTGTGGAAGACGTGGATTTGGAGTTCTGTTCTTTGGCTCTAGGGTTACCAATAAAACAACTTAAAAACAAACCTCGGCTGAGCTGTGATTTGCACATTGCCTGACCAGCCCCGTGCGATATTTGTACATCTAGGTGGCTGTATTGCAAAGTCTGGCGGTGCCGTGTTGCAAGGTGGAAGGTGTTTATTTGGATATCTTGAAAAGCAATTCGTATTACCCAGTGGCTAGAGAATAGCCGATGTGGAACATGGAAGGCGACACCACAACTTGAGATCCTTTCAAGTAATCTGTTTTTATCCGTGAGGGAGCCCTGCACATTTCCACATGCCCTGCCACACGCACGTTCTTTCCATAGCAAACCAATATACTCAAGATCTAATATTTTGCCAAAGGGAAAAGGCATACGTGTTTTATTTATTTATGGTGTAGTCATTGGTGACTGTGCTGAGACCATGAACTCGCTATTTTTGACCTGATGTCATCACGTGCCGACCCAGCATACCGAGGCATGAGCAATCATCTGACACCACCGAGTCATTTTGGCTACATCTTCCCAATGCTCTTTGACCCCCCCCCCCCTGCTTTCCAATAAAAAAGAGGCAACACTGCACTGGGGGAAAGTGTCTAAATAGCTCCACCTGTGACCTATAAACCCCAACATTGTGGATTCACAGTCGCGAGTCACCCACCCGTAAAATGACCCCAAAGTTTAACGTCCTTGCACCGTAAATCTTGCGTCGACTCGGTTGGACTGTCGCCCGGTTATAAAGTTCACATACTTGTGCATGGCCCAAGCAAGATTGGGACCAGCTTGATTTAAACATCCACCGATGGATAAATAATCTTGAAACATTGATAGTCTGGGTTCTTTTTTTAAAATCTCCTCTGCCCACCTCAGCAACCTCGTGATGAGCGGGTCACACCGCAGCCTCTCACCCACATGGCGCATCTCGTCTCCTTCCACTCCCCATCTTTCCATTACGCCCGTATCCACCCATAAGCGGTCTTCCCACACCAGCAAATGTAACCGATGTGCCACGCGGTGCAGTTGCATGGAAGCCTCTTCAGTCACGACGAATCTGTGTGCCCTACCCCGATTTACAGTTTTCCTTTAAACTGAATCTCGTGTTTAGTCGGGGGAATTGGGAACTGTTTTAAACCCCCAAAGGGTTTTGCTCAGCAACAAATAAAATGACTATCCATGACCACATTTTCTCTTCCAAATACGATACATTAATATCAGCCGTTTACATGAGTGGCCATCAAATTCATGGGTTGATAATCCGCGGCTCATAACTTCACAATTGGACTCCTAGATTTTTTTTGGGGGGGGGTGGGGGGAATAGGTGTTCATTAAATTCACGTAACTTGCTGCCTGTGCACTCGATGTTCTTATTCCTCACTCCAATGTCAAACTCGCCAGTTGACTTGCTCCTGACGCTCTACATTACCTGTGGATTAATCACCTATTTGCGATGACATGTGTTTTACCCTCATTTCAAAGTCGGTTAATTTCCACAAGAATTTGGCGTGCTGACATACATCTGTGGCTTGCTGTTGAAGCGTATAAGAATGTTTTTGAACTTGTTGGAGTTTGAGGGCCATACATGGTACCTGGCCACTATCCAATTTAATGTTTAGACCCTAAAACACGCATTTATTGTTACAAGACTTATAACCTACATAAGTAGTCAAACCCGCATCTGATAGAAAATGTTTTGGCCACATTTTCTCAACCAGTTGATCTCCACGAAACACGGCCACAGTTCGTTTGAGCTGGTTATCTTAGGTCAAGCTTTGGTACATACAATGCATACATTTGCGTGGTTGCTATAAGCGTAGATGTTTCCAGAACTGTGGCGTTTTCCCCCTTGCGTTCACTTCAAATGAGGCCAACTGCATGCCAACGTATTTTAATTCTGCAAAGTTCAACATTCGATCATTCAAATGGAATGTGTTATACGTAACGATGGTCAAATCCACAAGAGATCGTGGTTTTCGTGACAATTCTTAAGGGACGGCGGGAGACATTTGTGCTCAACCAACCAAAGTGGCGGCAAAGCGATTGCTGGCTGGTGCGTTTCCCCTTGTCAATGTGGACAAAAGGGCAAAGATCCTGGACCAGTCCTCCACGGGACCACATTGCTGCAAGCGTAAAAGATTGCGCGCCTATTTTATACTGCTCGTTAACACGGAACTCAAACCTCGCAAAACAGTTTGGGAATACATAGCCATCAGAAGGCCACCGCGTTTCAATCACGCTGTACAAAAAGATGTGGGCATGATATTGTAAGAGCAAAAAGTGTCGTGTGCCAGTTTAAAACCCTTGATGGGCCAAGTACTGCAGATACGTAAACACGTGCTTTGGATTGTACGGATGAACACGGATCACTGCCCGTTATTCGTATTTGTCCTGGTATCGTAGCCTGGATTTGCACAAAGGGTGCATGGTTAACACTCGTAAGTTTGGCATCCCCGGGACACATTTCTAAAATATTTTCGGCGCTTCCACAATGTGGAAGCGGCGACATTTGACCGCGACCACCGTGGTGTCCCATGCGCCCCCCACTTGACACTGCAGTCGTCAGGGGGGGGGGTGTGACATCTGCAGGTTCCATCGGCCAAGTCGTAGGGGTTACGGTGGGGGCGCAAGAGCACCAACGTCGCTGTAAGTCACGTGCGAGAAGCGTTACATTTGTTTCGCGGAATGAACGACACCGCTAGATAACCAAAAAAAGTCTCTGACATTCCTTTATTTTTTTTTTACAATGTTGCATTTTTGTCTGCGGTGCACCTGGTAACGTATGGTATTGCTTCAAAACAAACCGCACAGTGACCTACAGCTTTACGGTGAAAGCGCACACTTCGCTACGCTCATTTTCCCAGCGCACGCACCCACACACACGCTGCTAATGCCTTTATATTGTCATGCGCCAAGGTTATGTTGTATGAGAATCAAAGCCATGAGTCAAAAACTGATTTTTTTTTTTAAAGCATCACATCCTTCTCAAGTCTCCACACATTAAGTAACCTTCGCGACAACCACACATTTGGACTCTGCTCCTGGTGCCCGATGCTGCATGCCTCCGCACGCGGCCGTAATAAACCGACGCAAGGACATCGCGTGACAAACGGTGCCGCACACTGGCACTCCCAAACACCCAGGCGGCAATGAGTTGCCCCCATCCACGCTTCGGGTTTCAACCTGTCCTCAAATCTTGTCCGCTTGCCGCAAATGTCCAGAGCGCACTGCACGGGCCCGTCGATTGGTAAAACGCGGAGATTTATGGGGCGACGGACACCTGGGGGTTGGGGGGGGCGTTGAGAACGCACTCACCGACGGCCATGAAAATAAACTTTGTCAGCTTCTCAGATACGTGTCTCCAAAGAATTCGTGTAAGCGGGGGGGGGATACATCGGGTTTTTTTTTCAGCAATGGGAAGGCACTCGCTAATGTCAAATTGAAGTTAAATACTGTGTATTAAAAATATAACGTTACAAGAATCTGAGAGAGCGCAAATAGATTTTTTTTCCTTTTTCCATGACCCCCCAGGAGCAGCCGTAGCACGATGCCAAGAACGACTTGTTGGTTCGTCACATTCTGAAAAGAAATGCAATGCTTGAACTTGTCCGGCACCGGCACTTACCGAAGGCGCAATCGAGGGCGCCCCCCCCCTCCCCTGTTAGGAAAGCCAAACGGCGCCCACTCACGCAAGCCAAACGTACGAGCACACAGGACCGACCCAGACACCCATCTCTCTCACACTCGCGCGGCACAACCCTACGGCACCGAATAAATAAGTATTTTACATACAAGTGGGATGGAATCTGCACACACGTACACACGTACGCACGTCACATAATAAATTAAGGAGTTTCTTCGTTGAATATATATGTATACGTATATGCCGATGGTATTAAAATTGTTGCTGCTTCAGCGACCACAGAGGTTATTGATTTTTTTTTTAAAAGAACATTAATAACACTATTAACAGTAACAATATGAAAATAAAAACATTCACAAGAAAATGTTTTTTTCACCGAACAGACCATTTTAGGGGCGACTCGTCTTTCTTGAATACGTAACGGAAGCCAGCGGGTTAAAGCTACAGATCTTTCCCTTCACGTTCAGTGGAAAAAAAATTATATTGGAACGTATACATATATATATACATAATGTTCTAGTTTCTTTTTTGCAATAGGTTTTCAAGTCTTCACTTGCTTTGTTTCAGCACAATTTACTCACGGCTGCAATTAAGAAAGGCATTAATATACACGATAAGAGGGCGGTGGTAAGAGGGCATTAGGAAGTAATAGGGACGGCATTTAACGTGGCGTAATCCGCCAATTCCTATCTCCTCTGGCACGTGGCACGCACGCACTGTGGTTGCGGGGCCGACGCGGCATGTGCGCGCCCCGCCATCCCTCACTCGAAGGATCCTGCGACGCCGAGGAAGGGTCGGGTGGGGGAGTGAAAAACCACAGCATCGCTGGAGGAGGCGAACCACCGGCGATCGGAGAGCCGAGATCTCTCGACGGTGGCGGTGCAGGAGCACGAAAGGGGGCGACACGCAGCAGCGGTGAGACTTCCCACGTCGCTTCGCGCGTGAGGATTATGCAGTCAGTGCGCGCAACGATGTCTCACAAGTCCGGGATTTTTTTCCTCCTCCGAAAAACAGGACGAATAAAGGGGGGGGGGGGCTTGCTGCTGGCTCCCCACGGTGCGAGCGCGTGAAGAGTCGGTCTCACAGGGTCACACGGCCCTCTGCGGGAACCACGGCAACCTGGCGTCTCCTGGCGCCCTCTCTTTCCTCCCCCATCCGACGTTCTCGTCGCTGCGAGTTGGAAGGGAGAGGAGTGGCGGCGGGAGGGACCGTCGAGCGGAAGTTGACCTCCGGTTGAACAAAACCAAAAAAAAATTGGTGGCAAGAAGGTGCAAGATTGCAGGTGGAGGGGAAGACGGAGGCAGGAAGGATGGGGATGGGCAGTGTCGCAGAGATGGCGAGTGACGGCACGGCCACTTCAATCTCGAGGAGCACGACAGAGCGCCATGGTTAGTCAGTCTGTGTACTCCGCAACTATTGACAAAAGTACGGTGATGTCATCCGGCTTCCCGCCTGTGCAGAGACAAACACACGAGCGCAAACGTCAACACAACAGCGTACACGTTTTAAAAAACAAATTCCCCCTAAAAATCTGCACAACGAACAAAAAGTGTCCACATTTTTTTTCGCTTAAAAAAAGGTGCTCTCGATTTGCCCCGTGCATGACCGTGCGCTTCGTACCCCTGAGGTTGAGGCCGTTGCTGCAGGCGTCGCGGGCGAAGGGCGACATGTACTCGGGATCGTAGGCCAGCTCGCGAGCCTGCTCTGTGATGCTGCGTGCCGTCTGCCCGATGCTTTCCATGTCCGAGCCCTGAACGGTCCCCACGCGCACACACACCAAGCACAAACCAATTTTGGCTTATTTAATTCGATCAGGATCCCTCACGGCAGCGCTAAACAACACATCTCCAGCGAACTGAATTCACCCCTTTCGTAAGGGGGGGGGGTGTGGGGGACTTAGGAAGCCATTGTTATGTAAGAAGGGTTATTTATTTATTACTCGCAACTCAGCTGCTGGAAAATTTCCAGCTTGGGGATTTGCGCTACGAAGCCGCCACACAAAAGGCCGCACTTTACCAACGATGACGTCGAATGGCGTTTGATAATCGTGGTGCGGCAGCCAGTGCGGTGGGGGGGGGGGGGAGGTGGTGGATGTTTTATTAATGCTGCCAGAAATGTTTTTACAGTGCAGTGGGGGGCACCTCATCCGTATCAGGCCACTGGCCGAGCCGGGGAGCTCATGTCAACTGGTCTACGAGGAGTGGCGGAACTGTTAAAATCAATTGTGGAGCAATTTTCTCGAGCTCTTGTGAAATAATTATACAATAAGTAAATCATTTTTTTGGGTACATTCCATTCCCCTCCCAAGGTTTGGCAGCCGAATCAAAATTACACGCATGATGCTGTCGGAAGCGGCCCGACACATTCGTGGGCTCATGAATGAACAGAGTGAATTCACGTTTACGTTTAGCCAGAAGACAAAGCTGCGGTATTCCGTTGTCGATGTAAACAAAGCACTTTTGCTTGGGACATGAATAGCCCTGCTAGGTTTGCGGCTTCGGCAACATGCCTCATCCACGGTTGCCACCTCCGCGGTAAAAAAAAAACCGGGACACATCATCGCAAGAATATTATCGCACAACACCAGAATTTGGGAGAACTGCACGTATGATTTCATCGTCTTGGGAGGTGTATCTATTACACGATGGACAAAGAAACTGGGACGTTTTAACATCTGTCCTGGAAAAGACTTATGGGCTACCTCAATATCAGGCTCGATTCTAGCGAAATCCCAGCGCAGAGGCAGGTTAACCGCGTGCGTCACACACCTTGAGGGTGCGGAGCTCCTGCAGGATCATGTGGTCGGGCATGTTGTCGAAGAGGCCGTCTGTCGCGGTGAGGATGATGTCGCCGAGCTGCAGATCGAAGGACGAGCTGTCCGCCACCTCGGGGCTGCGGGAACGGCGACGGTCTCGTTAATGGTCCGTGTGTAACCCGGGCGGGGGGCTTAAATTCAAGCGGGCCGCAAAATATGCGTTCCACTGTGGCTGCAAGCGAATAATCACGTTCTGGCGCCCTACGATTGAGGTCCACCAGAAAATGTGCACGCGGCCCCTGTCTGTACTCGCAACATCGTGTCGCACGTAATCAACAATTCGGCGTCGTTTTTACGAGGCCGTGCATTAGCTAAGGGATAATTAAAGAAATGTACCTTTCTCGCAATTATATTCTCCTGCAACTGGTAAGGTTCGTAATTTGAACTGCAACTTCTCCATTTCGCCCCGGTAAGAGCCCATTGCCAAATAATGTGTGCGGGGGGGGGGGGTCAGAACTATTTATGGCCCAAAAACTACGTGCAACGCGAAAAGGAAGCAAAGGAAGGCGTAGGTGAAAATTTCACAAGTTAAAGAGCCAAATTGCGTGGCATTCAAATCAGCAAGAATAAGTGGAGCTTTCTGAGCCCCATAAACCATAAATTTATCTACGAAACCAGGTATTTGTAATGTAAGTTACAATCTATAAAAAGCCTGGCAGAAAAGGCTAAAATGGAGTGCAAGGGCTGAACATTACCGCAAGTACTGTTCGCAAAATACAGTACATCACACACAGGGAGGGTTGGTGTCTCAACTTGGCGATTCCAAGTTCAATTAAAGCGGCGAGTGAAATCAGAACTGATTGTCGGCAGCCCGCCGCTTTCACCAACCTGCACTGACCAGCAGGGTGAAGTATGATCAAACAACCGCCGTGGCCAACAAAGGTCTGCGGAGGCCTTTATTCAGCAGGGGATTGACAAAGGTCCGGAATATTCTTCTTCCGTATGGCTGATACAGATGCAGAGCAACAACTACAATTTCACATTCAGGTGATCAAGCCAAGTAACCCCGTCAGGGGCAGCGGAGTGCATCGCTGTAATATCTCGTTTGCATCTGTAATATACTTATTTATTATTACATGGAAAACGAAATGAAGAACAGGTTTACAAAAATATATATATAAACGTGCAAACACCATGTTACAGCTCAAATGTCATTTCAGGAAATGTTAATCCTGCACGTATTTACTTTTTGCCCAAGAGATTTCGAATTTTCCTCTTGTTTTCTAAGGTGCTTTGAGAAGATGCAGCATTTAAAAGCTTAAGAAATGCAAATCCTTATTTTTATTATTCATCATTGACTTCAAGACACAAGAACAGATTCTGTGTGCGGGAGAATTGGTCTTTTGATTCGCATACTGCCTCATGTAAAAAAAAGTTGATCTGACCACACCCAGTAGCTCGCGGCTGCTACATTCACCACATAGTTTAAAGCAAATTATTGTATCTTGAACCACTCGGAATTGCGACATTTCATTGAATCGTGAGGTTGGGGGTGCCAGGTGAATCGTTACACCCATAGTTTACAGTTTGTTCCAAAAATACCAGACCTACGCAACACATTTATCGCAACAGCAAAACGCATGCTATGGAACAAAACGCATGGACAGAAAGAAAGATTTCTAGCCACCAATGAACGAAGAATACTGCAATTCTTTGAGCACATCAAATATATTTGGTCAAACTAATCAACAGCTAACCCGACAAGGTTACTAAATATTGAGGGCTCTAGAAAGAGAGGTCTCCAATCCCAAAGACTTCGTTTCAGAATCACGGCGGATCGTGAAGAGGGCCCAAAAATCCACAACCAGCTGTTCCGTGAGGTTGAGAACCGGGCACAGCGACCGTGTTTGTTAGGCCGCTCGTGGGGACACGGACAGAAGAATCAACAAGCGCACTGCCGCGCCAACGAACGGACTTCGCCGAGCCGGACGGCGGATAGTGGCCAACTCGCTTCCCAGCGACCCATAACCAGGGGTGGGGGGTGTGGGGGGAATCTTGTCCTAACTGAAGGCCGAATAAGATTCTCAAATACCTTTTGGCGGGTCGCACATTAGTTGGCACTAAACATTGACTGTGTGCTATGAAATATTAAAAAAGACAACAGGTGAACCGAGCTTGTCAAATTTAGAACACAGTGTTGCCAACTCGAAAATATTCTGCCCCCCCCCCTCCGCCCCCGCAATGCCCAAGGGTTATTTATTTATTATTCGCATCGACGGCGAGAAATATCGTTTGCCGGCTGCTGCAAGGTGGTAGGGGCCTCGCGCGGCCGTAGGCCGGGCAAGATTAAGTTGCTGGCCATATCTGGGGCTGTTGGCCAGATGGTCTCAAACTTCGCACTACAGGGCATGGCCATGAGGTCATGAGCTTTGGCCAACAATGAGTTCAAAATTTTACTTTTTATGGACATGGAATTTATAGAAATTTTGCTTAATTTCAAAATGTATTCGATATTTTTCAGAATAAAATGTATTTAAATGTAATAACTGTCAAGAGCTTTTGCAGGGTAAAACAGTCGTGACGGCATGTATCGTCAAACTGACATCGTCACATGGCGGCAATTTTTTTCTGGAAAAAAGCGACGATGTGGAAATGACGTCGCCTCTAGTGACGTCACATTTTCTAATCCAACCGAAACACAATTATACATATTTTCCTTCGGATCGTCCCAATGTTCACACTCAGACTAGGTTCGTCAGATTTTTCACACACATCCGAAAACCTGCAGCGACGCATCCGCACAGACGCGCCGGAAACGAAACGCACCTGTCGCTGAGCATGGCTCCCTCGGCGCCGGGCGGCGCGATGGCGAGCTGGAAGGGCGTGTTGAAGTAGTGGCGCTGCTCGTCCGAGCGGTGCACGACACGACCGCCCCTCACCACCAGGAAGCCCGAGTCGCCGAGGTTCGCCGTGTGCAGCTTGTGGCTGCTCCGGTCGAGCACCACGACGCACGCCGTGCTACTGCCTGCGTGCCGCACGCAACGACACGGCCGAGCGCGCGCACACAACACTGCCGCCGTCAACATTTGCTGCCGTTTGTCGTTTCCGTCTATAATAAATTGTTACGTACCGTGATCAAAGTACCCAATCGATCTTTTTTTTTTATTCGTAGAGGTTTTTAACCTGCAGGTTCAGGGAAATCCGCCAGCCATAATGGCAAAAAAGTAACCAAATTGTGATAAATCATATCATCGTGATGTTTCATATGCCTGTCTATGAACGCACCACATGTAGAATGACTTATGTAGTAGTAGTAGTAACACAGAAGGAAAAATCACAATGATACTGCATACAAAGTACATGCGTCTCTTCTGGGAAATGCACAATGATCAGTTGGAGCGGTAATGGATTTGCCAGTGTCATGTGACCCGCTTAGCATAGAGTGCTTGTCTGGCTTTGCGCCTCGGCATAAGTGGTCACTCTTCCACTGTGACTGCTCGAGACCCAACACCCCTGGGTTGATTCCATTCCAGCAGAGGGAGACACGGGGGTGAGTGGTGGGGAGGGGGGTGTCATGGCAAAGAAGTGCTGTGCGGTCACAGAAAACCGCATTGGAGTCATACTCTGTGGAGCCAGAAAGGCTCCAATTAATTCAATTCAATTTAACGTGAGGTATGTTCATTCACAGCATGCCGGAAAACCCTCTTTCACGGAAAGGATCTCAACCCCAATATCAGCGTCAAGAGGGTTTACTCTACTGCCAAACTAACATGTGCAGCAATCCCAACAAGGCTAATCAGAGGTGCCTATGTCGGCGTTGCCTGTGGACAAGTGCACGCGGCCTCGCGTGGGATTTAGGGGGGCTGTGGGGGGTGGGTGCTCTGACATTACCTAGCAGGGGAGCCTTGTGCTGCAGCATCTCGGCGTAACTGGCGCACAGGATGCCCACGGGGTTGGAGGGCACGAAGCGGCCTTCGCGTGCCAGCCGCTCGCACGTGCGCATGAGCGTCGCCGAGAACTGCGACGGGTCCACGCCGTAGTCACGCCACCCGCCCACGCCGTCTGCCACACCTGTGGGAGAGGCAAGGGCGGCGGAGGAGGAAGCACGGCACGTGGGTCAGCTCGACGTCAACTTGATCGCTCGCTGGCTCGTTCGTTCGCCGCTCGACGGAAAAACAAGCGGCGCTCCCCCCCCACCCCAATCGTGCGTTGGTTGGCGGCGTTGGCTAATCAATGTGCGATTATGTGCGCAACCCCTAACGAGAAGCCTGATCACCGCTGCGCATGCCAGCGTTTCACCGAATGCCTGCCACCGTTTTGCAAGAGGCTCCCCCCCCCCCCCACACCAGGGTGAGGTGCAGAGCACAGCCTCATACGGAGCAGCTCATCCTCAAATTCCATGTCCTCAAATTGGAGGTCGTGAATCGCGCGAAACACTGACCCAGCGGTGGCGATTCGGCCCTGCTGGAAACCTGAAGCCCATGTGCACAGTGATTTAGAAACTTTTCCCTTGGGCACAAAGAATAACAAATATGGCCGAATGAAAATAAAAACAATCGTGTTTTGGGTCGTCATGTGCTTTGACGGTGTATCCCATAGGAACAGGGAAGGCCTGCGACTTTTTCCGTAATTACACCGGAAAGTGTAAACAAAGTTTAGCGACGGTTTACAGGTTAGAGAGTATCGGACGTCAAGCAGACACGGCAATGGGATGAAACAAACCAGAACTCTCCGTCGACAAAAACAACTCCCGTACAGTACCTGGTGTGGGTACTGTACAGGATACAACATTTGTGCAGTATTGGGATTTTTTTAAATACCAATTTAGAAACTTAACAAAAACATGACCTATCCCTGTTTATAGGTCACATGGCTTAAGCCTACGGCAATCCCTGCAGGAATGACACCACCCCCGTACTCACTCTTCAGTCTGAAAATCCCACACAGCCGACAGCGACAATCCCTCTTGGCAGTCACAAACTTAAATCCCACAGGATACTTTTTTTCTTTGACGCGAACTGGTCGGTTAATTTTTGTTTCACGAGTGGAAGCTGTCCAGCGCCGGCACTATTATGGCAGGAAGATATGAGAACTGCGCATACCTCCCACGCCACGGCACCCTTAAGAGGGGGGGACCCATTACCGCGGGCGCACTGAGAAAATACCAAACGGGCAACCTTCCAAGGTCAAAAGCGGGCGCAGGCCGGTTCAGTGCCCACTATGGCAATCGCATTCTTAAGAGCAGCACAAATACGATGCGGCATCCGTTTCTGTACCACCATCGAGGTACCCCTTTCCACCACCTCTTCAGTTGGTAGTCGCTGGAGGCAGCAACTTCGACAGCAACACCCCGAGAAAGCGCCACGACATTTTTCACTACCACACGTGGGCCTGTACAGTACGCCTATACAGAGGGCGCACGCGTGTCTGTGTGTGGGAACAGCTGTAAGCCGTTTCACAGAAACACGTGCTTGGTAATTGTTTCAACACATGCCAAATAACGTTGTAGTGGAAACTTGAGAGACTGGTTCGATAAATACTGGTTTGTGAGCGACTAATAAGGCATGCAAGCTATTAGTGAGCCCAAAACCACGCATACCTGGACGACTTTGCCGAAAGCACAGGGATTGGCCTCTAGGTTACGATGACCTTGGAAAGTCTTGGGCGAGATCTTGAAACAAATTTACCACCAGTGGTGTTAAGGCCATTAATCACAACCAAGAGTGAACCCGGGTGACCGGGATTGTGGGCGCAGCGTGTGCTTTCGACCACCGCCTACATAACAACATTTCTGTAGACACACACACGTCCTCACGTGCATATGTACTCTATTTAAAGTACCTACATACACAAAAACACATCCACGTTCTGCACAGCCTGCAAAACGCAAGACTGTACACACCGCGCTGCCGTGGCAGGCATGTCACAGGGTGTGCGAGCGCGGTGACCTTGATGGGAAAAGGGACACGCGATTATCCCGAAGCAGCAGCCTCTATCGGAGCACGTGCACGGGACGTGGTCGGGGGCTAGGGTCGCGGAGGGAGTTTGGATTGGGATGAAAAGGAGGCTAGTGGGTGGCCAGGTCACCGATCTATGGCATGTGGTGGTGGTGGTAGTGGTATTGATGGTGGTGGTATTATGATCAGGGTAGTGGTGTTAGTGGTCAGTGTTAGTGTTTCTGGTGATTCTTGTCGTGATATTGTAGTCATGGGTCTCCCCTAGGTTGACTCGGCCTTAAATGCGTACCTGGTGCGGAATACAAACATCACCACCGTAGAGAAGTGATGTTGGTAACCAACCCCATCCTGCGCTGGCTTTTATAAGTGCTCACTAATAGCACTTGCACCAACAGCCGATGTTGGCTATAAAGAAGATATCCGTCTTTGATGTAGCGGTGAAGTAGAGGGGATGATGGCGGTCATCTGAGAGACAGTGGGCAGTGTGGTGGTAGTGATGATGGTAGTGGTGTTGCTGCTAATAGCTTATGGTGAAATTAGGTTTAGTGATGGCGACAATAATTGCGGTGTTGGTGGCGATGGTGCCGCTAACGGCAGTGGTGTTGGTAGTGACGCGTCTGATAAAGTGGTGGCGCGAGCGGCAGCGATAGTGCGATGGTTGTGGCATTGGCGGGAATTAGAGCGGTTGAGCCAATGGTAGCGATGACAAGGATTTAGAGGGGGTGATCTTGGGTGGCGCGTGTGGCCACGAGACCTCTCCATTTCTTGGCAGCACGTGGACATGATTGTGCGAGCGTATTTGCGTGCAGCCGATCGGTGTCCCCCGCGTGTCCTCTACGCGAGACACATTATGTAAGCTGCTTAAACAGGAAAGGCAAGACAGCCTGCACTGCCGGCTTCGCCGGTGACAAGGTCACGCCGCCGCCGACGAGATGAGGTTCTGTGACATTGGACTATTCGAAAAGGTCAGGCCATTATTTGTGGCGAGGCTTGGACACCGGAGCTACACAAGTCTCAAGGCTGAGATTTGACGTCTGACTTCTGGCACCACACCACTAAAGCCTTGGCACCACGGCTAACCACACAGACAGTCTCACACCCCCACCACCAACAGCACACGGGTGACGGCGGAGAGGAAGAGTTTGTTCCATCGGCGCCGCAGGGCCAAACAAATATGTTTTCAAGCTAATAATGACAGCAACGATGATCTGTAACGCAGGTGAGATAATAAGTACATCGGCAGAATTAAGTATGAAGGCATGTGTTTACTGTAACCGGTGCTATTGGTGTTGAAGGTTCCGATAGTATAGTTTTTGGTGGCGATGCTGGTGATGGTCGTGGTGGCAATGGTGTAGGTGATGCCGGCGATTGTCGTGGTTGTTAGTGGCAGTGTTTTTGGGAGTGGTAAAGACAATGGCAATGTTGGTTAGTGCTGCTGGTGATGGTCGTGATAGTGGTAAGAGTATTAGTACTGTGGCAGTGGTGCTTAGTGTTGAAGATGACCGTTCGTGGGGGTGTTGTTAGTCGTGGTGGTGGCGATAGCTGTGGCAACTGCAGTGGCAACTGGCTGAGAATAGAAACACGTGGCTCGGTGCTTGTCCTAAAGCCACCTTTCTAAACCAAGGCCTCCAACACACAACCGTTGTTAAGCAACACTGTGTACATGGTCACCCCTCTGTCAATCCACTGCTGGATGAGGGCCTCTCCAAATCCACCGCCACAAGTGCAACCACAAGCCAACAACGAATGTATCGGAGCTACGATCTCCACCCCAACAACTTGTGTTCCTACCTCCAACTCTAACCACCGTGACACCCAAAAGGCACAACCATAGCCGACATCATAACCACTACCAACACTGCAGGGATTGTGGTGGACCAATCACCAGGACCACGCGTGAGCACAATTCCACAACCACTACAAAATACAGACAATAACCATAACCACCACAAAAATACAACTCTCCAAAAGTACGACTACAACTAAAAAGGTACTGCATCATTACTCACTAGAACCACATGACAATATCGCACCTACTAGTCCCAGCCGTAGAGCATGCACACAACTGAAACGCATAACAACCACACGACAACAACAACATACCTGGAGTACACACAATCCTAAAATAAATGCCAATAAAGTGCTCAGCCACAATGCAACAACTTGTGATAACCACCACAATACATTCGACCTTAAAACACCACCACAACCACCATGCTTGCTCCCCAACCACAACCTCTGCGACCACCCAAAGCGCAAGACAAGACAACCAACACGAAACATTCAGTTCACTATTAATTAGGCAGACAACAACCACCCAACAAACACCGCACCAGCAATGACATCGACACAAAAGGCAATCGATGACACCTTCAAATTCACCCTTTAAAAAAATCTCGATTGAAAACGCATTTCTTTAGAACTGCTTTTCGTGTCCAGTTCGTTGTCCTGCCACCGCACCTCCGATGAGCACGGTGGGCCACGTACGGTGCGAAAGAAGTTTCCAACGTACACACAGACACACACTCCCCTTCATCTACACAATAACAACACGAACCACGTTCGCAATCAACACGCGGTGGGGACCACCACCACAACAACAACCAACCAATAACAGCAACTCACAATTACTATTCGAATTTTGGAACTCGTCTAAATTAAAAACACAACCCCACCGTAATCTCAAGAGCCAGCCCCGCTTCGCAGCGACCAAGTGCCAGAGAGAGAGGACAACGTGGCACAACGATGAAGACCACAACAGCATTCACCATCTCAAGATCACAACCCAATAAAAACACAAGACCACCGCGCATCTCGAAAGAGGCCGTGTTCGTTCACGTGTCGTGTGTCTGGGAGCGGCTGCGTCACGAAGCCCCGACGACCCCTCTCGCAACCACCCCCTGGGCCGGTCTCCCCCCTAGGTCGACTCGGCCTCAATCGAGCTACTCGGTGCGGTGGTGTGTTGTGAAATATCCGCGCCGGGAGTGGTGGTGGTGCTGATTCTGCTGCTGCCCGGCCACCCCGATCCCTAGCCCCGTGTGGACACCCTGGCGCGTAGGGTTGGTTGGTCGCTTGGTCCTCGCGAACAGCACTTGACGGTGTTGCTGAGGCTATACGGGGGATCTTTGGCTTTGCAGTCATTATGGAGCATTGTTTGAGAAGAAGAGACAACGTTGCCGCCGTTGGAGCAGCATAATCATGATCGATATCACCATCGTCATCATCATCCAACAACTTCATCATCCAACATCATCGACATCATCATCATCATTCAACAACTTCATAATCGACATCATTATCCAACATCATCATCGATATCATCATCATCCAACAACTTCACCAACGACATCATCATTGTCATACAACTTCATCATCGACATAATCCAACTACATCATCATCATTCAACATCATCATCGATATCATCCAACTACATCATCATCATTCAACATCATCATCGATATCATCCAACTACATCATCATCATTCAACATCATCATCCAACAACATCACCACCCAACAACCTCATCACCCAACACCGCCACCACCGTCAGTCACCATTCAACATCACCACCACCATCACCCTCCAAAGCAGCTCACCGAGCACGTCGGCCGACCGATGTCTCGCGATGAAGTATGCGTCGTCCCCGAAGCACATCCCCTTCTTGAGCACGCCGAGTCGGCGGAAGTCTTTGCCGAACCCGCAGCTCGCCGTGACGAGCGAGAATTCGCGAGAGTCGCCCAGGGAGAGGCCCCCGAGGACGGCGCGGGCCACGAGGCGCCCGCACTGCAGAGCCGACAGCATCGCCACCCCCAGGCACGAGACGAGCACAGCAGTCACCCCCCAGGTAGCCACACTCACAGAGGAGGACGAGACGAGATGGCTTGGGGTTGTGGCTGGGGAAAGGGGGTGGTGGGGAGAGATATGAAGATTGTGTGGTGGGGTGATCAGGATGATGGGTGAGGTGGTGATGGGAGGTGGTGATGGGGAGGAGGTGATGGTTGAAGGAGGTGATGGGAGAAGGAGGAGACGAGGAGATGGGACGAGATGGCTTGGGGTGGTGGCTGGGGAAAGGGGGTGGTGGGGAGAGATATGAAGATTGTGTGGTGGGGTGATCAGGATGATGGGTGAGGTGGTGATGGGAGGTGGTGATGGGAGGAGGTGATGGTTGAAGGAGGTGATGGGAGAAGGAGGAGACGAGGAGATGGGACGAGATGGCTTGGGGTGGTGGCTGGGGAAAGGGGTGGTGGGGAGAGATATGAAGATTGTGTGGTGGAGTGATCAGGATGATGGGTGAGGTGGTGATGGGAGGTGGTGATGGGAGGAGGTGATGGTTGAAGGAGGTGATGGGAGAAGGAGGAGACGAGGAGATGGGACGAGATGGCTTGGGGTGGTGGCTGGGGAAAGGGGTGGTGGGGAGAGATATGAAGATTGTGTGGTGGGGTGATCAGGATGATGGGTGAGGTGGTGATGGGAGGTGGTGATGGGAGGAGGTGATGATTGAAGGAGGTGATGGGAGAAGGAGGAGACGAGGAGATGGGACGAGATGGCTTGGGGTGGTGGCTGGGGAAAGGGGTGGTGGGGAGAGATATGAAGATTGTGTGGTGGGGTGATCAGGATGATGGGTGAGGTGGTGATGGGAGGTGTTGATGGGAGGAGGTGATGGGAGGTGGTGATGGTTGAAGGAGGTGATGGGAGGAGGAGAGGAGGAGACGAGGAGATGGGACGAGATGGCTTGGGGTGGTGGCTGGGGAAAGGGGTGGTGGGGAGAGATATGAAGATTGTGTGGTGGGGTGATCAGGATGATGGGTGAGGTGGTGATGGGAGGTGTTGATGGGAGGAGGTGATGGGAGGTGGTGATGGTTGAAGGAGGTGATGGGAGGAGGAGAGGAGGAGACGAGGAGATGGGACGAGATGGCTTGGGGTGGTGGCTGGGGAAAGGGGTGGTGGGGAGAGATATGAAGATGTGTGGTGAGGTGATCAGGATGATAGGGGGTGGTGGTGGGAGGTGAGGAGGTGATGGGAGGTGGTGATGGGAGGTGATGGGAGGAGGTTAGAAGGAGATGGGTGATAAGGGGGGAAGGGTATGCGATAGGATGGTGGGGAGGTGATGGCAGAGGAGGTGATGAGAGAATGAGGTGATGGCAGAGGAGGTGGGGGTGATAAGGGGGGGGGGGTGGTAAGCGAAAGTGTGGTGGGGGTGGGGATGTGATGGGAAGAGGACGAGGTGATGGGAGAAGGATGCGGTGGGGTGATGTGAGCTGTAGGATGTGTTTGGGATCACGAAGGACGGCTCAGGGTGAAGAGATCCGATGGGATGATGAGAGGGGAGGAGAGGGGAGATGCAATGGGATAGTGGGATGAGATGGAGATACGATTAGATGCGATGGGGGTGATGAGGGATGGGATGTAGTCAAGATATTCAATAAAGACTCCAACACAATGGGGGATGAAGGGTTCGGCAAGGGCGATTTGGGTTACGCGCTGGGTAAGCTCCGCTCCGACGTCAAGCTGCACATTCTCTCGCTGGTGGTGCTGGTGACGAGGATCATGAGGAGAGATGCAGGTGGTGGAGATGGTGGTGGTGGAGGAACAACGATGAGTCGTCGTCGTGGTACACGGAGAGACGCCTCGACACGAGGCCGGCGAGGAACGAGAGAGACGAGCGGGGGGGGGGGGGGTGGCCCCCCAAGGAGGTGCTCAGGACGACGACGATGATGATGATGACGACGAAGATGATGATGAGGTGCAGAATAGAAGGCGCACGAGGCTCGTAGGTGGTCACCTACTCGAGTAAAGCTTGCGGCAGAGGCCCCTCCGCCCGCGCAGACGTCGTGACGCGTCTCCGTGGACGTCTCCACGCGGTGCCCGTCCGCTCCCTTCACGTGTAGGGGGAGAGAGAAATTCTCTCCTCCTTTGCTCCTTCAACAAGACGACGACGCCGCCACTGGTCGGAAGGAACCACACCGCCCGGCTCGTGCCGCGTGTGAGAGTGGTGGTGGTGGCGGCGGCGGCGAGTGTAGCACAAATAATAAAACTAAAATAATAAAAATAGAGCAACGCGTGGGCGACTTGCCCCCTGTGCTGCTACCGCTGCTGCTGCTCCTCCCCCCCTGACAGGCTCCTCCCCCCCCTGCCTGGGCCCCCCCCCTGGGCTCCCCCCTGCCTGGGCTCCCCCCCCCTGCCTGGGCTCCCCCCCCCCCTGCCTGGGCTCCCCCCCCCTGCCTGGGCTCCCCCCCCCCTGCCTGGGCTCCCCCCCCCCGGCCCCCCCCCCTGCCTGGGCTCCCCCCCCCCCCCCTGCCTGGACTCCCCCCCCCCCCCCCCGCCTGGGCGCCTGCCTGGGCCCCCCCCCTCCTCCCCCCCTGCCTGGGCTCCCCCCCCCCTGCCTGGGCCCCCCCCCCTGCCTGGGCCCCCCCCCTGCCTGGGCTCCCCCCCTCTCCTCCCCCCCTGCCTGGGCTCCTCCCCCTTCCCCCCTCTATTGCAATTCCCACGCCGCATTGCCGGCAGTGACGGCGGCAGAGGGCGCCGACAGCCGCCGTGCGGCCATCTTGCTCAGGGGGATGGCGGTGGTTGTTATGGTGGTTCCGGCTACAGTTCCACGCCGGTCAAAGAACGATGTGTTGCCACCTTCAACTAAACTGCGAGGCTTGTGACAAGCAGCGAGCCACACACACGCACGTCTGTGAAAACCCTGGCTCCGGGGGAACGCAAAGAGCTTCGCAGCTCATCGGATTCCACCACCACCGCGCGCCTCTCGCGTTGCCTCCCCCCCCACCTTACCCAAGATGGCCGCTCAGATCGCACGCATCGTCGTGACGTCACGGGCAAGGTCGCGCGAGCTTGCTTTGAAGGTCACGTGGAGGCAGCGGGCCGCTTGCCGATTGGTTGGCAGTTGCTTATGCGGAGTATGGGATTAGAAGGGGGCGGGGGAGGGGTAGGGGGGTGAAGCGGGGGATGGGGGGGGTGAAGTGGGAGGGGGGGGTACCTCCCGAGGCACGTGCTTTTGACGACGTCACGGAGGGTGCGTTCACGTGCGGCTACGTCACCACGGGGGCGTGACGTCACAATCCCCCCCCAGGGTGACGTCAGCGAAGCTTGGTTACACACACGTACAGTGCGGTACAGTGCGCGTGTGTGGTGAAATGCGCGGGAAACGCCACGCGATCTCGGATCTTTCGTCCCATTATTTAAGCAATTTGCCAAAACGGGTCGACACCAGTCATGTTTACCTCAGTATAATATTCTTGAGGGGGAAAAGAATTGAAATTGCTGCACTGCTACTTGCATATATTATTTAATTTGTAATACTGGAACTCATCACGATATTCATGTGTGGTGGTGCAACAATGCGCCAAATGTACATTGTTATGGTGTAAAAAAAATGCAATACAGAAATATATATGGTACACATCGAAAGGCCAAAACGTCTATCGCTCACTGGTAACTTCACATCTTGTTGGTGATCAGTGGCATTGAATTGGTGGCTCCACAGCGGACATCGTTAATTCCGCGCTTAAATTAATCTTTAATTGATATTGCTTGAGGTAACTTAAAATGTACGAGCTATTTTGAAATGCATTACAGAATCAAAAACCCGAATGGCTGGTTATATAAAACACAGTAACAAGCTACAGTCGCAGATTATTTTTGGATTGGCATGTGGCTCTATGTACACTCGAAAATTATGAGAACATCTTACCGCTCTGCAGAAAACTCCCTCGATTAATTTTAACCACCAAATTTCCAGGGTTCTTCAGGAACTTATCAATTTCCCGCCACTCAAACTGGCCCTCCACACAAATCAATGCAAATTGCAGAGTGGCTGACCACACAGCTAAAGAAAATACGAGGTCACATCCCCTAGCTGGGCCACCAAACATGAAAAGCCCTATCTAATAATTATCAATCACGATGCACGTGTATCATCAGGGAATGGTTCATGTATCTCGAACACCTACAACGGTGCCCTTTGGATACAGCTAATCTGAACGAAGGTCTCCTAACACCTGGGCTGGCTCGGACGCTGCCACTTGATCCCATGCTGCTGTACCAGTGACCGCAGATATTCCAACTCTTGTTCCTGCGTGAGATAAAATAAACACGGATTTCTGTCAATCGATTGTCGATGTTTCGTGCTCCGTTGAGTCATTTTTTTTTCTTCTACCGAACAATTAAAACGTGCTTAAAATAGAGTCTGAACTAACATTCCAAAAAGGATGGCCCTGAAAAAAAGCCTTGGAAAAAAGCGACGTCTCATCAGCTGAATGAATTCCAGTAACTGTTTGAATTTATATACATGCATTTAAATAAGTTATTTGAAAGTGTATGCATAGATGTGAGCGAGGGAGAATTGCCTATAATTTATGCAAGATTTTCAATGATACCTTTAGGCTGATAGAATGAGGCTGAACAAACAAGACAAAAATAACCTTTTTTTAAATTAAATTGTAACACCCAAAGCAGGAACATTCTTAGAATCATGTGGATTAATCTTCAGATGTTCACTAGAAAAGCTTTTACTTCCATTTTTAAGTATGCACACTTGGCATAATGTTTTATTCTGAGTTTCAGCTTCCTGAACTAGTGGGATGTTTTCACAGACTTCTGCTTTTAACATTTTTCGTGCAGCGTTTCCTCATTTATGCCAACTGCAAGTCATTATGTGTATCACTGTACAACAATTTAACAATGTTAACTATTAGTTATCCAACATTCAATACACGCCATTTAATAGGCAAAATAATGTTTAAATAAAGTAGGGAAATATGCATCCAAAATGTTACACTGTTAAATTTAAGCCAACACTACAAAACCACGCCAAAGTCAATATAAAAAAAGTTTTCGAACATTATTTTGGAAGCCTAAACCATCAAAGCATATAATGATCACAAGGGATATAACAATTACCGCAAACCAAAAGATCTTTAACAAACCTTCCACAGAATATGCTGACGTCACCACGCGTTTTCAGGGGCAGCTAACTGTTGTGGGTTCGTGTGGCATTTTTTTGGTTTGAGCTTCCTGCAGAGGGGACATCGGCTCTGGCGCTCTATGCCCCATGGCATGAGGGGAAGGGGAGCGCGGACGTCACCTGTTCAAGACAGCGCCTCTGCAGAGCCTCCTTCTCGCGTTTCAGCACGGCGACACGGCGTCCGGTCCTGTTCTTCACCGACATAACGATGCCTGTGGGTGACAAGCACATTCATCAATCCACGTCAGATGTACCACATCCAAAACCTGACCATCGCAATGTCTGTCCGGCGACTTTAACGCCGAATAGAAATAAGGGGCTGATAAGAGAATCTCATCAGGTCTCACCGACGCGCACTAACCAGCATATTGAAAAATAGTCAATTAATAGTAATGGTTTACATTGAAAGGCGCAATTCATCCAGGGATCTGTGCACCCACAAAATGCATGGAGAGGATCCCCATCCACCATGTACAACCTGAGGAGAGGCATAGCCGAAGGGTCAGGATATTAAATTGTAACCAATGCTGCATGTCATGACTTATGAATCGATCCCACGAAGCCAAACCTTTTACAGCACCGCGCACACACGCGTCAATTACTGGACATCTGTGAAAAAAAACTACTGGATATCTGTGAAAAAGAGCTTCATAGCTCATCGGATTCCTCCAGTACAAATAAATATTCTTATTCTGAATTGTACGCTCGTGCGGTTAGTGGTGCCGACCGTTTGCGATGCGCGCGATCCGCCAGAGACGCAGCAGAATGAGGAAGGCGGTGGCATCAAAGCCGTCGTGCCGCGACGCGTAGAAAATGTCCAGCGCAAACGAGATGACCACAACGGCGCCGTCCAGCACCTCCAGCGGGTGCCAAAAAAACTCGAGGCGGAAGGCAAACAGCTTGACGGCCAGCTCCACCATGAAAAGCGACAGGATGGCAAGGCTCATGTAGTGCAGAACCTGAACAAAGACAAAGATCCCACGCCGTATAACCGAGGGATTAATTTCAGCTGGGTCCCTCACCTGGAAAATATTTAGACACATCACGCAACACATCAAGTATAGAGCTCGCTATGGCTGTGGCCACTAGCCTACATTTTGGGGTTTGAACGGTGGCACGGTGGTTAGTCCACTGCGCTTTGGCCCCGGCGACCCCAGTTCAATTCCCAGCCACTGCTAAACATCACTAACACTGACTGGCAGTGGCAGTTATGTACATGACCAAACAATCCCCATGGATGAAGGTCTTTATCCAGTAGTGGTTTTGACAAATGCCTGTAAAATTTCAATGGGTGATGAAATACAAATTCCAATTATGTAGACAAAGCTATAGTGAGGAAAAAAATCCCTTTCATACTTTGACAAGATCTGTTTACTGGTTTCTGCCATAACTGACATAGCATGTGTGGATAATTACCCCTTGCATGGAGTCTGAAACTCACTTAAAACTACCACTCCACCCCCACGAATTGGCGTTCTCTTGCAGCAACTAATGTGAACATCATAGTTCATTCTTTCATTGAGCGAAGGGCATCAATTGCAGAGCATATTTTATACTGATAATAGTGTGAGTGTGTTCCAGGCACGCCTGTATAGCCCTTATAAAACTGTTTTGGCCACAACCAGAAATGTTGTTGAGGTTCTCTGTTGGCTGCACATCCCTGCCAACCCTGCCAACCCTGCCAACCCTGCCAATGCGTGACCCTAACGTCGTGCAGGTGGACCTACCTCAGGGGCGATGCTGTCTTTGTGAGTTTTGATGATGGAAAGGTCGATTATCAGCTCGCCCATTACCAGCCCGGCATCCAGTAGCACCAGGCACACCACAGCCACCTGCGGCATCACAAGTAAACAAAAAATTATGGTATGGCTCTTAATTCACTGCTGGATGAAGGCCTCCCCACAGAGTGTCGGACATGAGGGTTGATTGACCACGCTTCACCATATCGGTCGGTGCAGATTGGTGATGTGGAATGGGTGGCCCAGAGTCAGTTCAGATATCACTCGGCACCAATGATAGCTGTGGGCTAGAATCAAACCTGAAGTCACAGGTTTCATAATGCAGCCCTGCTCCAGCCCACTTCAGATGTTTGGTTAGACACCAAGCCTCTATAACACATAAATGTTATCAGAACATTAGGCTATGACTTAGTGAAGTAGTAAATGAGTTAATCCTTTTTGCGTAGATTTTAATGATTGTGCTGGACAGCTTTCGGTTGTACCTTTGGGAAGTATCATGTGTCGTAACAACAAGAAAGCACAACAGAGTTATGAGAAAAGGAGCTGTTTATAGTGACAGCGGTGGTGAGATATTAACTCCCTCGCCTGGTATAAAGGAGGTTGTGGGTTAGATCCTGACCCCGACGTCTGTATGTAGAACTTCTTTTGCACCATACGAAGCCAACCGTGCTAATAGGTGCGGGAGTTTGCATGCTCTCCCATGGTCACGTGGATTTTTATCCGGGTCCTCCGGTTTTTTCTCTCCACATTTAGAATCAAAGTGCAGTTGAGAGTATGTTTGGCTGCTATAAATTCCCACGTGATGATAAGCCACTTAGTTTAAACTATAATTTGTGGCCAGGTTGCTTCTGAAAAAGATCTATATAGAGCTCAGTGGGCCTTATCTGGTTGTAGAAAAAAATAGTGACAAAAAATTATTGAGTACCTGGAAGCGCTCAGACGTGAGTATGCGTTTGAGGGACTCTCGAAATGAGGACGGTGGAGGCTGTAGGACGCTTTGCTCCACGTCGTCAGATTCCTCCGAGACGATGGCCTCATTCTCGTCATCGCCCGGGCTCCTTCGCGGGTCTCCCAGCGTCGAGAAATATTGCAGATAACGCTCCATCGGAAACGGTTTTGTTTTTCAAACGTACGTTTCGATTCGCCCACTTTGTTTCCCTCGAACCCTACAACCAAAGGAAAGGAGAATGGATTTGTGCCACTGTGCTGGGTGGAGTGAAGCGCACAGACCGGTCTCTTTGGTTGATGGCGGTTTTAACAATTGCGGTCATCCAACATCTCTAGGTGATCATGCTTAGCCTGTGTCATTGGGTGACAAAAGAAGTTTAGAGAATGCTAAACACAGTAAAACACTCACTTATTACAAGTGTACAATTTTTTATTGTAAATATATAACAGTTTTACAGTATTTATTCATACGATAAATTAATCAACACACAAATAATGGGGGCTTCGAAGATTGGGTCAGCAAGGCTGGTACCATATATTATTAAAACCTTTTTGACTAAACCCCTCAAAGAGTACTGCTCATCCTGAGTCACTGGTGCACATTACAGTCTTGTAGCAAGCGTGCGATGTATTAGTTCGGTCTTTTTTGAAACCCAAGTCTGACCTCGCTGTCACGCAGCACTGCATTGCCGCCTCTTGATATACGAGGAACATTCTGTCAAAAGTTAATTATACCGACCACACGTGCCGATTTTTACAGCCATTTGTCAAGCCGCTGGTGGGTGAAAGCCTCACATTTCCAGGCGCCGAATGGCTCACAGGACTATACCAAATAAATTCAACTGAAACTGAAACAGTTCTGTATTGGTCGGTGGGGGTTGTTTGACCATACTTTTCCCAAGGGGCCAGTATAAAAATTTTACTCACCACTCATCTCAGCCAGGAATCAAACTCGGGTCGCCCGGGTTAATGGTTTAGTGTGCTAATCACTGTGACCGCAGAGCTCTACAAAAGTCCCAACATCGACAAGTAGAAATAAGCTACGGAGCATAGCATTGCATGAGGACCGGCAAAATGGGTACATGGAGTATCTTATCAGTGTCGAAACAAAATGGAAATGGAGGATACTATAACCAGTACATCAATTTGGGTCACTCACGTTGTAATCGTCTGTGTCAAAAAGCCACACGAGTTAAATTCACATTTTGCAGTGTTTTTTTTTACATTTCTATTACACAAGAGGTTAGATTACACGGAATTGTCTACATTAGCAGGTGCGGTACGTGTGTACAAAATCGCACGACAAACTTGGTAAACTAGAAAATACGTATTGCGATTGGCACATTTTGGGCAGTCTCTCTTCGATCATGAATCAACAAGCTGGAGCTCAAAATGAGCCGCATATTCTCACACACCAACAAGCCCCTCTTTCGAGTGCAACTAATGCGACCGCGACCTTTCACTTCACGGACACGACGCTTAAGCCTTGCATCAGGACAAGGTCGGGGGGCGAGCTATTAAAAAGTGTCACCGGAGCCGCCCGACCTTCCAGTCTGTGCAGAGCATAATGGCTTACTCAATCCCCCGCATGTGCGGGTAATTCTTGAAGTGATCTGGTGGCAGGAGAGCGCTGCGGTTTTTTTGACCGTGTTGTGGCGGGGATGAAGCAGCATTCAGTCAACAAGCCGACCCACCGACACTAAACATAGCCGGCGTGATGCCCTCAACGCGCATGCTGCTGGCACCATTGGCACACCTTGGTGCTCATATCCAGGCCTTACCGCATGATGGATGTCTATCAACTGGTACGAACCCATTGAGAGTAATTATAAACAGCCGTGCCAGTGTCAACCTTTCAGGGTCGTATATATTTGCTGTGCCTCTTGGTTGCCACTGCTTGACGAAAAAGTCTGCAACGACGGTAATTTCTTTTATTTTTTTACCCGAAGACTTCGCTGTGCCAAAGTCGTCATCATCAGCAGTCATGATCAATCCACTTCTGGATGAAAGCCTAACCAAGCTTTCGCCATCCCTCACGACCCTACGATGTTATAGATCCTGGACGAATGTGAAACTGAGATAATTTCCACGTTTTCACGGCAGGACCAAAAGAGCTGTACCTACGATGTATGCATGAACTTATTCCACACCGTACGTAGCCAAACCTTGCTAACTTGGCTGTACACGTGCAGCCCTTTTGCCAATAAACTGAGGCCCTCCCCACGCCGTGTGGGTCATGAAAGCTTCTTGACCACGCTTCACCACGATGACCGGTGTAGTAGGTTGGTGAAAGGGGAAGAGGAGATCATAGAAGTACAACACAGCTATGGATTGTGCTTGCACTGCCCTCTGCTGCCCACTCCGAAGCTCCGCTGCCACCTGCAGCCAGCTGGCATCTCATGTAAGCAACTCTCCAGGTTCAACCTTGGATAGGCGTTTGACTTGGATAATTTTAAAAAAGTCATACTGTACGCACTTACAAATTTTTTTGCAAAGTGTAATGTTAGAACGATAGGAGGCTTGTAAAAAAAAATGTTGGTCGTGGTGCTTACAAAATAGACAACCAGGCAAGCCGCTTGTCTGTCGGCAAATATTAATCCAACATCCAAAGTCCTGACAACACGGTTTGGACTTTCCACCCCGAGCACCCTTGGCCTGAACTTTGAAAGGCTAAATTGCAGTAATACTTAAATCATTAACGGTTTAACACGGCTCGATCCACTGCAAATCGCGTGCGTGTGTGTGTGTGCACGCTTCTACGTGCTTCCTATGATCACTGTTACATTGCTTATGGCTTTATTTTGGTGATTTCGAAAAGTTTTTTGGTTTGGCCATGTTTGTTTGTTGGAGTATGGAGTTAGAATTTATAATGATGGCTTTAATCTAAGTTGTCTTGTTGTTGTTGTTGTTGTTTGATTTACATACCACTGGGATTTTTGCACAGCGTTGGTGTACGGTGCTTTTTTTCTGGACGACTTTGCAGTTTTTTCCTGGATTTTTCTTTTGCGCATAGTCACTTTAAGATGTTTTCTTGTTTATGTTTTAGTTTTTTGTTTGTTGCGGTTGCACCTGACTCAAGAGCCGAATGGCTCACAGGGTTATACCTAATAAATGAAACTGAAAAACAAACTGATATTGAGAAACAACACATGGAAAACAACAAGCGCTCGCTACGCCACTTTTTGACCTTAAAACGGCAGTGTCGGCGGTGAAGGGCGAGCCGCTAAAGCTGTTGAAAATGTGACATTTTCCTCGATGAAAGTTGCATCAAATAATCTTAGATTTGAAGCTTTCGTGACTGCAAGGATTCATATTCTTAGGTTTTTTCGGTAAAGTCACGTAGGTAAAAAAAATTAAAATTAATAAAAGTAAAATTAAAATAAAATAAAAATCACGACGTTTCGGAGGCAACACAAGCTTCCGTCTTCAGGTGGAACCGTGACTTTACCGAAAAAAAACCTAAGAATATTCAAATAATCTTGTCACCCTACAACACACAACTTTGTTCAAATTAATGGCGAATGTTGTGTTTTGTTGTTGTTGCTTATGCAACAGCTATTGTCATACCGTGTCAACCCATGCGGTTTACCCCGTATTCTTTTACAGGGAAATTGAGTTTTCAGGTCCATACGGCGTACAGCCGTTTCAATACTGGCAAAAATGTGTTTGCGTTTCTCCCTTGTCATGGGACTTTGTAGGATGAACGTTGAGATTTATAAGGGCACGGGGTGACCAATAAGGTCTGAATTAGTATTGTCTGTAGTAAAGTAGGGCACTGATAAGGGGTTGACAGGTATGCAATGGTGAGTGTAGTAGTGGTGAGTGTACTTACGAGTGGTGAGTGTAGTGGTGGGGATTGTCTATTTGTGTTGCTCCCTAGTGATGGGACTTTGTAGAATTAACGTTGAGATTTATAGGGGCACGGGGTGACCAATAAGGTCTGAATTGGTCTGTAGTAACTGATAAGGGGTTGACAGGTATGTTCTGTGTTTGCCTGGATGAGGACTGTCACAGCGAGCCATCGTAGCAACATTAAAACAGGGTGGATTTTCCTTAATCTACGACAGAATGGAGAGGTTTAATATTACAATAAACGACAGAAGGTGGATGAATGCGCCTATTTTAAATAACACACATCAGTTGTTTGCCCCTAATACAGTACTGTACTTTCTTCTCGACCTGTTTTTTCCTCCCCACAGTGCCTCGTGTTTTCATAGATTGGGGCACACATCGTTCCCTGCCCAGATTCCTGCCTCTTGCTGACGACGATGGGTGGATGTGGAGGAGGATGCTCTTTGGAGCTTGGCTATCTACGGCAAGGAGGGTTTGGTGGGGTTCATACCTCGTGCCTTCATCTTCCCGTGCGTACACGATCATGGGCACAGACTCTCCGTCTGCGATGAGTCGCAATAGCTCGGAAAATGTGCAAATACGATGCAAAACGGAGGCAGGGAGAAGCGTCACCGTTTGCCGTATTTAATGTTGCATGCAACATTTATAACCCCAAAAAGCAACTTATGGATGATATCGGTCGCGAAAGCCTACGAATTAAACGAACAAAGCCGTGTGAAAAGTTGCACCATTGGACTTCCACCTCAGAAGAACCGAAAGCCTCTTCACAACATTTGGTCAATAACACTGTAGCCTTAAGAGGACAAAAATAACGTATTTATAACAGGCAACGTTTCAGGTAATGACCCTTTTTCGTAGCACAGAGGGGCCAGAGAGATAGAGTAGATGAAGAGTTAGAGGACTGGACTTTACACCACGGGGCCTGATGAGAATTACATTTAAAATTTGTTTACCGAGTAACATTTTTTTAAATGGTATATGGATACAGCAGTTAGCTATTGGTAGCTATTGAATAACCTTTACATATGTCGAATGTTGTGTGCATTAACGATTCAATTACTGTTTTACTCTTCAGTGTAACGATTTGATCGATCCTGTTGGTCTAGTTTTTACCGCCTCGTCTATATTGTTTCTCGTTTAGCACCACGAGCATAATAGTTGCATATAATTTGCAACAATTTTAAGTAATCTCTTCTCGGGCATGCTGAGCTGCACGGTATTGTGAGCGTAATCACACAAAAACTGATTTTTTTTTGTATTCTCTAACATTCCAGCAGCTGCAGAGTGATTTCGACACGCAGTGTCTCATCAGCAGAGTCAGGCTTGCCCCGAAACGAATCAATGCTGTTGAAGTGCCCATCTAGATTGACGCAAAGTTAGAGCGGTTAGTACATAATTCATTAAAAAAAAACACACAATTACTGTAGTAAGTACCACAGCTGCATCAAACTGGACACTCAGTTCAACACCAACTAAAAAATATACTTCCAAACATAATTGTGGTTTTATTTGCTATGAAAAAAGACCAATTGCTCAACATACTGCCAACAATATCTGTTCTTTTGAAGGCGATGTTGTTCACGAGTGTGTTGAGTCGTGTTTTTTTACATTAACTATGGCTAAGCAGTGGTCATTGCCAGCACAAATGTTTGTTAGCAGGATCAATTGTGTTATTATTCTTCTGCTTGTTATTTGATATATTGTATACTTCTTGGACAGAGGCCACCATTCACGCAGCGGGGTGGTTCTAAGTTTTGGGTTGTAGAAGTGCAGCAAGATACATTTTTGCACCGTACTCTACTCTGATTAATGTCTTCTGGTGTCACCAATCAACCTCATCAGAGCATCGTCTTAAGTCCGATGCGTGCAACTCCTCCGTAAATGGAACGTTAAATAAGTAATATATTTAAAAACACTTTTTTTTTAAACACGCTTTTATGAAATTTACTTGTAATGGAAGAACTCCATGACTATAGGAAGTGGCCCCGAAGCTTGCCATAACGTAAGGGGACCGTGGCCAATTACAGCCAACGTCAGTTGACCGTGGACAATTAGACCCAAGCCGAAACATAACATATGAAAAAGAATGTTCAAAAATATGTTGATTTTATTTTTGTGATAGAAGATAGTATTGTCATCAGTGTGACATAAGTATACCAAGTTTGCAGTCGATACCACATTGGGAAGTGGGTTAAAATTGAGTTCCAAGATTTGAGGACAACAACAGAGTGAGTTAAATGAAAGCGTGCAATAAAAATACAAGCCGCAGTGCCACGTGAGAATGTGACCATGCCCCCATAGAAACACACCGACACCGAGATTCATAGGGGCCACATAAAAGAGATACGTGAAAAGCTGAGCCACAGGAGTGCGATTGTGGCCATGTAACCCACACAGGTGACCCTATGGGCAAACCAAACGTGGTATTCGCTCTGTTAACGGAGGAGGAATGGCCAAACGACACGAACTCTCAACTCCAGAAAAGCTCTCTTCGTCGTGGCCAGCAAACTTCGGGGCACTGGCATTTAGCTGCTGAACAGATCGCCGCAACCAATTCGCAACGCTCTACCACAAATAGATTTTTATTTTTTAAAAGTCTATTCTTTCGGTCTTCGAATCGAAGGTTCATTCACCCCACCACGGCACGATGAAGTATGGTCTAAACAACTCCACACGGCCTCGAACGGCGTGAGAGAGACCTCATTAGGCGGTGGATTGATTGCTTAAAGGGATGTGCATGTGACCCACTGTGTTATGATGATGGCAGATGTTGTTACTTGGGGAGCGGTGGCGCAGCGGTTAGCGCTACGAACCTGGCCACTCGAGTTCGACTCCCACACACGGCCAACACCGGTGACGATTATCCGACTCGGTCCTGGGCTTCACCTGGGTCGACTCAGCCTCAAATGAGTACCTGGTGTGTAAGAACATCGCCACTAGGGAGACAAAGGCGGTTGGGCGTGGTGCTGACCACCCACCCCCTCGTGTGCCGTGCAGACCCTTCATAGGTGCTCGCTAACAGCACTTGCCCCAACAGTTCTGTTCAGGCTATAGGGTTGATCTGTCTTTGTTTGGTAGCGATGATGATGGTGGTAGCGATGATGATGGTGGTAGCGATGATGATGGTGGTAGCGATGATGATGGTGGTAGCGATGATGATGGTGGTAGCGATGATGATGGTGGTAGCGATGATGATGGTGGGTAGCGATGATGATGGTGGTAGCGATGATGATGGTGGTAGCGATGATGATGGTGGTAGCGATGATGATGGTGGTAGCGATGATGATGGTGGTAGCGATGATGATGGTGGTAGCGATGATGATGGTGGTAGCGATGATGATGGTGGTAGCGATGATGATGGTGGTAGCGATGATGATGGTGGTAGCGATGATGATGGTGGTAGCGATGATGATGGTGGTAGCGATGATGATGGTGGTAGCGATGATGATGGTGGTAGCGATGATGATGGTGGTAGCGATGATGATGGTGGTAGCGATGATGATGGTGGTAGCGATGATGATGGTGGTAGCGATGATGATGGTGGTAGGATATATGGTTGGTAGCGATGATGATGGTGTAGCGATGATGATGGTGGTAGCGATTGTGATGATGATGGTGGTAGCGATGATGATGGTGGGTAGCGATGATGATGGTGGTAGCGTGTGATGTGTAGCGATGATGATGGTGGTAGCGATGATGATGGTGGTAGCGATGATGATGGGTGGTAGCGATGATGATGGTGGTAGCGATGATGATGGTGGTAGCGATGATTGATGGTGGTAGCGATTGATGATGGTGGTAGCGATGATGATGGTGGTAGCGTATGATGATGGTGGGTAGCGATGATGATGGTGGTAGCGATTGTGATGATGATGGTGGTAGCGATTGTGATGATGGTGGTAGCGATCGTGATGATGGTGGTGGTAGCGATGATGATGATGGTGGTAGCGATTGTGATGATGATGGTGGTAGCGATGGTGATGATAGCAGTCTGTACTAACGGTGGTAGCGATTGTGATGATGATGGTGGTAGCGATTGTGATGATGATGGTGGTAGCGATTGTGATGATGGTGGTGGTAGCGATGATGATGGTGGTAGCGATGATGATGGTGGTAGCGATGATGATGGTGGTAGCGATGATGATGGTGGTAGCGATGATGATGGTGGTAGCGATGATGATGGTGGTAGCGATGATGATGGTGGTAGCGATGATGATGGTGGTAGCGATGATGATGGTGGTAGCGATGATGATGGTGGTAGCGATGATGATGGTGGTAGCGAGATGATGATGGTGGTAGCGATGATGATGGTGGTAGCGATGATGATGGTGGTAGCGATGATGATGGTGGTAGCGATGATGATGGTGGTAGCGATGATGATGGTGGTAGCGATGATGATGGTGGTAGCGATGATGATGGTGGTAGCGATGATGATGGTGGTAGCGATGATGATGGTGGTAGCGATGATGATGGTGGTAGCGATGATGATGGTGGTAGCGATGATGATGGTGGTAGCGATGATGATGGTGGTAGCGATGATGATGGTGGTAGCGATGATGATGGTGGTAGCGATGATGATGGTGGTAGCGATGATGATGGTGGTAGCGATGATGATGGTGGTAGCGATGATGATGGTGGTAGCGATGATGATGGTGGTAGCGATGATGATGGTGGTAGCGATGATGATGGTGGTAGCGATGATGATGGTGGTAGCGATGATGATGGTGGTAGCGATGATGATGGTGGTAGCGATGATGATGGTGGTAGCGATGATGATGGTGGTAGCGATGATGATGGTGGTAGCGATGATGATGGTGGTAGCGATGATGATGGTGGTAGCGATGATGATGGTGGTAGCGATGATGATGATGGTGGTAGCGATGATGATGGTGGTAGCGATGATGATGGTGGTAGCGATGATGATGGTGGTAGCGATGATGATGGTGGTAGCGATGATGATGGTGGTAGCGATGATGATGGTGGTAGCGATGGATGATGGTGGTAGCGAGTGATGATGGTGGTAGCGATGATGATGGTGGTAGCGATGATGATGGTGGTAGCGATGATGATGGTGGTAGCGATGATGATGGTGGTAGCGATGATGATGGTGGTAGCGATGATGATGGTGGTAGCGATGATGATGGTGGTAGCGATGATGATGGTGGTAGCGATGATGATGGTGGTAGCGATGATGATGGTGGTAGCGATGATGATGGTGGTAGCGATGATGATGGTGGTAGCGATGATGATGGTGTAGCGATGATGATGGTGGTAGCGATGATGATGGTGGTAGCGATGATTGATGGTGTAGCGATGATGATGGTGGTAGCGATGATGATGGTGGTAACGATGATTGATGGTGGTAGCGATGATGATGGTGGTAGCGATGATGATGGTGGTAGCGATGATGATGGTGTAGCGGTGATGATGGTGGTAGCGATGATGATGGTGGTAGCGATGATGATGGTGGTAGCGATGATGATGGTGGTAGCTGATGATGATGGTGGGTAGCGATGATGATGGTGGTAGCGATGATGATGTGATGATGGTGGTAGCGATGATGATGATGGTGGTAGCGGTGATGATGATGGTGGTAGTGGTGATGATGATGGTGGATGTGGTTACTTACCCACGCCACTGCGTGGCGGAGTTGGAGCAGCGCAAGGGGAACCCGCGGCGTTCTCGACCTCGAGTTGCAACTGCCAAACAAAAGCGTGATAAAGTTGCTGGTGATGAGGATGAGGGTGCTGGTGATGAGGATGAGGGTGTTGATGATGAGGATGTTGACGACAGTGGTGGTGATAACGATGAGCCGACGAAACCAATCGCTGCTGATAACGATGACGGTGTTGATGATGATGATGATTATAATGAGAGGTTACAAATGAATAATCGGCTGATGGTGATTATCTTAATGATGAGGATGACGATGATGGTGGTGGTGTTATTGATGATGACGAGACGAATCGTTTGGTGGTGGTGTTGGTGGTGATGATGCGACGACGAGAGGAAGAGCCAGTCGATGATCTTCGTAACAATGGCGAAGGATATACAAGGAGCGCTTAAACAGAGCCATGCAGCAGCAGCAGCTGATGATGATGATTATAACAATGGGGGTGATGACAAAGGGAGCCGCCTCCCACGGAGATGAAGAGTGAGCTGCTGCTCCTGCCGATGATGATGATTACGACGATGATGATGTGGTGGTGGTGAACTGACGAGACGTCGCTTTGATTACTCGTTTGTCCACAAAGAACGGAACTGTTCCGCTGTGTCAGAGGGCAGCAGCAGCAGCATCAGCAGCAGCAGCAGTCTCGTGGCATCATGTGACTCGGTCGGAGTTTTCACGCAACACACAACACGCACGCACGCCAGAGAGAGAAACAAAACAAAGTTTAACGGATGTTTGTTATTGCTGTTGTCTTTTACCCATTGTGTATTTGTTCTGTTTTGTTTTGCACACGGGATCACCGTCAGAATATGTAGTTATACTTGAGGAATCCGATGAGCTATAACGCTATTTTTTTCACATGTTCAGTAAGGGGCGGGGTGGGTTCGAACGTTGCAATAAACAATACAAAAACACGAAATGAGTGCAAAGTATAGGAAAAGGTAAGCAAATCACGAAACATTTTTACAAAAATAAAACTAAACTATTTTGGTAAAGTCACGTAGAAGGGAAATAATGAAATAATAAAAATATAAAACTATTTTTATTGTTTTATAAAAATATAAAACGATAAAAAAATTATTTTTTTATTGTTTTATATAATTTTTTTATCGTTTTATATTTTTTATAAAACAATAAAAATAGTTTAATATTTGTATTATTTCCCTTCTACGTGACTTTACCGAAAGAACCAAGAAGATGAATCCCTGCAGTCACGAAAGCTTTAAATCGAAATTTGGCAGGAGTTACTATAGATTTCGAAAGCACACATTCGATTTAAAAAAATCCCTGATGCTACGTCTCCCAGTGATCTCAATAACACGTGTCATTATTTCCACGCCATATATTGTCCCGTAAAGTCTCACAAATATCCAATTGGCCTTTGCAAAGAAAGTCAGAGAGGGAGGGTTATTAGAAGAACCGAAAAAATCAGTGTGGTAACAATAAATGGCTTGACCCTGTACGTGGACATTTTTTTTAGTGTAACCACTCGATGTGCATTTTTTTTGCAATATCGATTTGAATGAATACCAAACACGACACATCCTTGAAACTTGTACACAACTCAGAAGTCTTAAAAAAATATTTTTGTAGGTAAACTTTTTAAATTATTTCTTTGAATTAAATGCAAGTATTTGGACAATACTTTGTTAATTAGCCTTTCACACCCCCCCCCCCCTGTTTGTTCGTCGAAATTCAGCAAGAGGTCCAATTGTTACCCATGTTTATAAAGCCGATAAGTGTTCAGTGCTGTCTTTCATCATCATCCTGAGCCATCATCGATCCACTGCTGGATGAAGGTCTCCCACAAGCCCTTGCCATGTCGTGACTATCCACCGACCCCCAATGTTTCTTCACTAATTGTCAGTGTCAGGGGCCACCACGCATTTTAAAGCATTGGGGGTTTGTGACAGCACCACGATAATGGGAGCTGTTTTCACATTTGTCATATTTATATGTTTTTAAAAAAATCTGAGTATCTGCTGCTGCTGCGTCCTGTACAGCGCTTTGAGATCCTTGATGAAAAGCAGTATTTTTTTATTTGTGTAGTCAGGGGCCGCCCAGTGGGCCTCCCGCATGCCTTGCAACAACGAACACCTTTTGCCAACACCTTACCTATCAGAGTAGCAGCCCTCCTTGGGCTGCTACTCCGACATGAGTCTCGCCTACCCCCCCCCCCCTTCTGTCTTTAAGCGACGTGATGAATCCCTTTGTGCTGGATGGATGTAGCCACCCACCACCACCACCACCGCCTCCCCCACATTGTGTGATTCATTGATGCAGAGTTTGACCGTAACGGCGGAGGAAAGGAGGCGTGCAACATTGTGGCGACGTGGGAGTGGAGTTTGAAATCCGGTGTGACTATAATTAGAACCGTATTTTTTGCGTACGGTCGCCCAAACGTGGTTAGTATGACGTACTCACTGTATTCAATCTGGCTTTAAAAAAAAACATTACATCTCGTGATTTATTTTGTGAACTTATAAACCAAAAAGAAACTTCAAAGGTGCTGGCTGAGGACGCTGTCCCAAAAAAACATCTTTAGTTCCAGATATTCCAAAATTATGTTGTCTGCACAGGGCATTGCAGCGAATATCAATTGTTGGTGCGTACTTTTTGTTGTTGCCACGGTTCAACATCGAAGCTTTCTTGCCTTCGACTATAGTGTGGTGAAGTATGGTCATAGTAATAACCCCCTCGGGCCGATCGACATCTCATTGAGCGGTGCGTTAAGGAAAAACAGGTGGTAGTACATTCCACAATTGTTGGGACATCGGCCGTGTTACAAGTACTCTATCAATGCTTGGAATTTTTCACCACAGGTAATTGAGGGGCTCCTTGGGTTTTCGTATTCGAACGTTGGCGAGATGTTAACTACCTCGTCTGGTATACAGGAGGTCGTGGAGTTCGATCCCGATCCTGACACCTGTATAATTTGGAGTTTGTGTGTCTCTCTCACCGTGGTCGCGTGGAATTTTTCTCCGGGTCCTCCGGTTTTTCCCTCCGCATTTAGAAACATGTGTTTAGAGTAATGTATTTGGCTGCAATACATTTCCACGTAAGCCACTTACTTAGTTGAGCTATCATTTGTGGCCAGGTCGCTTCTGAAAAAAGAGAGCTCTTGAACTCAGTGGGCCTTACCTGGTAAAATACTTTTTTTTGTTTTTATAGTTTATAGCTTAGGAGGGCTCCAAAAAGTGTACGCCCTTCCGAAAAAAATGATATCCTACTCACGAACTGGACATCAGCAAGTTTCACGTTCTTTGCGTTGTCAAAGAAATGCGATTGGGGACGCGTGGCGAACGTGTTTTGTGAGTTTCGCAGCTCATCCCGTTATAACCAGCCACGAAAGAATCCGCACATAGATCATAAATGACGATCTATCATTCATTCGTGGATCGCTTTGCAGCAACCGTAGGGACAAATAGATCAAATCATGACGGAGGTGAATCGTTACATGCCTTCGTTGATCCCAAATCTCCAGAGTTCCTGGAACATTTTTTTTTCTAATTTCAGACACGTCTCACTCACACGGCTGCTGGCCATTATGAACCAGATTGAGTTGGCCCTGCCACTGTAAGAACATTTTCCAGATAAAGTGTGTCAAATGTATGGGGCCCTCAAGGAGTTCAGAAATGAGTTTCAAGTGACAGTACGAGAAGATACCGAAATATTTGCCATGCTCAGTGCAGATTGACATTCATATTCGCTTGGTATTCGGACATTGTGCCTGCATAGCGTGACATGCAGATAAGCTGCCTTTGCTATTTAAAATGCCAATGGAAAATTCATTGTTGCAGGCAATGATTGATAACTTATTTATTCTCATTGTTTTGTTGTTTAAATAATGGATTAATTAATGTATAGTGGTTTTCAAATACAGTACTGGAGACCCGAATACCGGGTCTCCAGAATGCAGGAAACTCACCAACGTGATACGGTGACCGATACTGGTATCACACAATTTCCTATCTCAAATCAATAATATAATTGAATTATTATTATACATTACCTGTATATTCTTATTGTACAGCACTTTTATACTGTAGTAGTATAAAAGTATGTATTTCCCGCACCTGCGATGAACATGGTTGGTTACGAGGGGTGGGAAAGCAGTTCAACATACATACGTAGTATGTTTTATGTTTTGTTAGGATTGTAGTGGTGGTCTTTTAGTTGTCTGCCGTTTGAGCAGACTTCACCACACTGGACATTGCGGGTTGGTGAAGAGGTGGACCCAAGGTTGCTCCAGATGTCACCAATTATGTTGAAAGGTGGCTTGCCATTAAACACAAGTCATTGCGCTAACCACTCTGCCACTACTCCCAACCTCTTCGTATTTTATACGAGAGGTCTTAGGTTAAAAATAGTGTTGTCGCAAGGGTAACCAAATCAAACCTACGCAATTTTTTTTACTTGCAATGTTTTTCAGCAATGCGCGTTTGGTGACCTATTCAGCGCTCCGTAATCAAAGAGGCAGATACCACGTGTGCAACTAAAATGCAGAGGAACTGGCTCATCCGGCTTCCAACATTTCATACGTGCAATTACCGCCCGTGACGGTAACAATTAGACGTTAATGAACGTGCAAAAATGCTTCCAATCCGTCCGTCTTCACACTGGCGAACCCACATCACCTAATTAACGGCAGGTGGTCGCGGTGGCAATGGGCGACTGAATGTGTTGCGTTTCCTGCGGCCGGCCAAGTCGGATTGAAAATAGAAATGTGCCGGTAGAGTAAAATGGATTTGTGGGTGGGGTTTGAAGGGATTACCACATCACCAGACGGACAAGTTCGAACCGGTCATATTATTGCACTGTACGCCGACCCTGGTACATCCAGTCGTATTCTGATAAGACTTAACGTATCTGCGCAGTGTTTAAAAAAATCCCACTTGGCTAACATTGCGAGCTTATCGCCCCTCCCCATCTCAATTTGTTGAAATACCGCACGGGCCAAATGAAGTGCCTTGAAAATGATGCAGAGATGCACGGATAAGCGGTGACTTTGGGTCGCAATCAGCTTCAGTACTGGGCCAATTTAACTTCAAAAAAGGGAGTTGGTATGTATAATGTACATGTAAGGCACCGTTTTCACATCGAGCAGTTTCACTACGGTGTTTGCTGCACCAGTAGTTTTGATTACACTAGGGTACGATCAGGAAATGTCAAATACTGTATAAAAAAATCGTACATTTCCTTCCTTATATTTTTGCTAATCTGGAAAGCCCCATTATCAGGTGTACTTTTTTATTTTAACGAGAACCTATTTTCCAACATGATAAAGTTTTGTTTTGCAAAGGAAATGTTAGGACACCATGTCTGTTATGGGAAAATGGTACTGGTTTCCAGCTAAAATGTATTCGAAACTAAACTGTTATTTTACCAGGCAAGGTTAATTTCCTGATCGTATCCACGTGTAATCAAAACGACTGGTACACCGAAGTGAAACTGCTCGATGTTAAAACGGTGCCTTACAGGTACATTATACATCCCAGCTCCCTTTGTTGAAGTTAAATTGGCCCAGTGCTGAAGATGATTGAGACTTGAAGTCACCGCTTATAACCCTTTTTGAGAAGCGATCTGGCCACAAATGATAGCTCAATTGGCTTCTCATGCAGAAATTTATAGCAGCCAAATACTCGAAACGCATGTTTCTATGCAATGTTTATCCTGGCATTTAAGATGACCCTGGTTATTTGATGGCACTTAAAACACAAAAAAGTGGACTCATCTGGAAATTCAGCCAACTCACCAGGATGGTACTGAGAGATTGTCAATCATCTATAACATTATGGAACCATCTTTATCATTTTGGTCATGCCCTTTATTGTAATTCAGGCCCCAAACCATGGCTCTTTGTTAAAGGAATAAAAACGAATTTCTCCTTACAATGTCATAGGGCTCCTTGTTAAGAGGCAATGTGAGCTACAAACAGCTTGGAACAAGATTAAAACCCCATTACAAATAACGTAAAATAAACTCACTGTACTGTTTACTATGGATGGTTTAACATTAAAAAAATGCCTTTCCCCCCAATTTAACCTACAATATTTAGAGATGTCTTATTATCCTTCCAGTTAAGATTTCATTGCAATGTACGTGCTTTTTTGATATGCAATACAGAAAAGGGGACTCGTAAAAAGTTGAAAAAAACGTGAGAAGTGTCAGTAGTTTATAGCATTGGACTGTAAACCAGTGGAAAATCCAAAACATTAAACTGAATACCACTGTAAACATGGTTAGACTGAATTTAACTGCAGGAACCAGACCATATGCGATTGCCTTAAACTGGCTAAATGAAAATATAATGGGGACAGGATTATAACGGTTTAATAGATCGGAGGGTAGTCTGTTGCTCATACAAATTTCCAATTAATTTATCATCCCAAAAAGGTTGCTTTGCCTCAGCACATAACCTCGCCAAAGCTGGTAAAAAAAGAATGATAAACATTGCGTCAAACATGATGCTGCATAATGCCAAGCGGAAGACTTAAGTTGGGGTTACCTTTATACAAAAAAACAAAACCACGCCCTTCAAAGTGTGTTCAGTGCAAATCGCCAACATTTAAGGAAAAACTTCGGTAATCAAGCACATGCAGCACGCACAACCCAGTCGTGGTGATATATGTGAAACACATCGAGTGTATAAAATACCATTTATTACATTCAAGAATACAACTAAATACAAAATCAAGACTGGAGCCTACGGCACTATTGAATGAGGCAATAACAATATCCGCTTACAGGGCAGAAGGTAACGACACCTGCAGACGGCGATCCACTGGCCGTTCCCGCTTACCCACCCATCTCTTCTCATTGCGAGGTTTGGCCACAAGACAACTGATGGCTTCTATAATCTGCCAAATCACAATTCTACTCAATTTATTTCAAGGAGAAATCATTTCTTTTAAAGGAGGCTCAGTTCAAGAACCCTACACCACTAAAGCACACATAATAGGACAAAAATTTTAAAATAAAAAAACAGCAGTCACAAAACAGATTTGGAGTAGACCCAACGCTTTTTTGAGTGGTGATTATTGTCCGTCTACATTACGTATGTTACACCACAAAAAACTTCCACGTGCTGGCAAGCAAAAAATAACAGAAAATAAAAGAATGGACAAAGCAAAACGTCAACTCACAATTTAACTCTCTCCAGATCACTTGTATGTACACAAAGCTTTAAGGTCGAATTTTTTAAACCCCTGATTTTGTGGTTTATAAAAGCACGAAACTCTGGAAAAACCAAAAAGCAGGCCAAAGAGGAACATAAGTTTTGCCGACGTGTGAAAATGTAAATGAGCACAATACAGTAAGTACTAATCGTCAACGTACATCGCAAACGCCTCATTAATATCAAGTCTGTGTTTCGCTCCGTTGGTCAAGACATTGCGAGCCAAGCACAAAATGGAACCGTAACCCTTGGAATGCCAACTTTTGCAGTTGCCAAAACAAAAAAAGCTACCAAAGAAACATTCTATTCAATATGCACAACTTGGGATTGCAAGGGCCACGCTGGAACCATGGCAACGATATGAAAAGGACTGAGCCAAATAACGGCGAAGACAACACGCACGGCAGCTTGTCTGCACACAAGGGGGAGATAAACTTCCGATTCCCTCCAATGTATTGCCATGCTCAACCAGTCCCCTGGGGACCAAGGCAGCGATTCCATATCAGTACCATGATGCCCCTGAGTAGGCGTAAGGGGGTTGTATCCACTGTGCTCCATTTCTCAAAAGACAGCTAAGGACAAAAAAAGAAATTAGAAAGGTTTCCTGTTCAATTAAAAAACGAAACTAAAAAATGGCCCTCCCCCCACCCGCCCGCAAACAAAAAAAACAGATCTCACGTAATTAGACAAACTCCTGCGAATTATGCAGCACTACAGCGCCTCGCGAGGCCAGACTACCGAGGCCAGGCTACGCAGCAAAACGCGTCAGCGCCCCCCAATGACCTGGACTACTGGCACAAGAGGGTCCCCCGTGGGAGGCAGCGACTAACGTACAGGATGTGGTGTGGGGGGCTTGGCTGGAGGGGAGTCTGAGAAGCACTCTCATCATTTGTGTCAGGTAGAAACCGACCCGGTCCACTTTCCATTCATCCTTCGGCCGCTTTTCAAAGTTGGGTTGAGGCGGGGGGGCAAGGGAGGTGGGTGAAAGATAGGGGCGGGTAGGAGGAGGTGGTGGGGAGCAGCTATTTCTTCTTGGCGGCGTTCCGTGGCGGAGTCACGGGCCGTCCAGCGTTCAGGCCCACGTACGGAAACTTCTTTTTGTCTGCGGGCTTGAGGATCTGCAATGCGTACATAGATCGTCATTGTGAGACTCCTCATAGCTTTAATAATGCTTTTACAAACCGAGGTGCGAGTTACGTAAGCCTCAAATCGCTTGCGAGAAATAATTTTGACAACATGCATGTGATACAATGACCACAATACAGCAAATACTTTGTCTGGTAACACTAACTAAAATTACAGAGTAGCTGCAGAACATTAAACATACTGCAGCAGGCTGGCTTTGTTTAGTGCAAAGCTGTGCAATGATGGCACTCTACAATGTTAATGACCAAATGCTCCAACTGTTAAATGTAATAATGACATATTTATTAACCTCACCGTTTAACCTCCAGGATCCCATAACGAAAATTAAAAGAGCACACTGGGTTATCAAATTGTGCACATTATGTATTTGCTTGCACAACAAACATTTACATAATGGAATCAGGTGGCCACAACCTCCGTTATTTCTTTCCATTAGTCGCATGCTTTTTTACTTAATTAATTTTACAAAACGCACACCAGAGTGTGCAAATGATGAGCAATATGCAGCCAAGTCAGTTCTACTATAACGCGTAGTGTTTTCATAACGCGATGAATGCATCGGGAAACATTTTTATAACGCGGATGCTAATTGGACATAACGCGATTGAGCGAATGGGACTACGTCACGCGAGCAGGAACAAGTGGTTGTTACGCCTGCCTAGGCGTAGCATCATCGCACAAGGGCGGGACGCTGCTGGGTGTTTCTAGATGCCACCCACACATGCCTCAGTCTTTGTTCAGCATGCGTACGCATTTCGCCAATTTATCACGCACCGTGCATTACTACACTATTTTTTCCACAACGCGGCGTTGTTCAGGAACGCTACTACTGCGTTTACGGGAAACAGATGGTCGCCCCAATAACGAAAAGCTACACAGCAGTCTCTCACCTGGAAGGAGCACATGAGCGTCTCGTCCACGCTCATCATGGCGCCCGCATTGTCAAACTCTCCGCAGTAGTTCGGCGCCGAGAAGAGAGTCACCAGCTGCCGTTTGGCAAAGAACTCGTAGCCGTCCTCGACAACCTGAACGTGAGAAAAGGGTAATTTGAGCCTTGCTGCAGTTCAAACAACATCACAGGTGGAGGCTTCACATCCCCCGCCCTCCCCCGCCCACATACGCGACGGGCGTAGCACAGCAGAATGACGCTCGTCTGGTTTTATACCATGAACTTGTTTAACAAAGTAAACTGCTGTTTATTTAAAATACATTTGGAAAATCTATAGGGATAGACATTTAGAGAACAGGGGGCTATTTCGGGTGCGAAAGAAGTTCCACATACATACACCAAGACAAAATAAGCTACATTTGAGCAACTTCATCCAAATCGCCAGTTGTAATCAAAAAGGGACTAAAATTCCATGCTTCAGTTAGTACACAATGGCAGTAGTGGCCATTTAAGATAAAAAAATATTTTTAAAAATGGTAAGTTACTCCGCTTATTAAAATAAAAATAGCCATTTGAACCTTCTGGCAGTACACCGGGGTACCATAGTACTCCAGCTCTTGCATAATGTCCGTGATCATTTTTAGTCTGTTGGTAGCCGGCAATGCGGCCAGACTCATCTCGACGAGCTGTGCACGATGGTGCATACGAGCGAACAGGGTTTCAGCGCAATCGTCCTCGCTGCGTTTCGACATTGCGGAGTGGCACTGATTTCGGATTGATTGGTGCTCCAGTAGCGGAGTTAAGTACACCCCTGGAAAAAAGTGTCCCAGATAAAAAATATTTAATTTCCTCAGCCATTTGTATTATTTGGTACCGCCATAAGGATAATTTGTATTTCAGAAAGTTATTCATCTTACTTCTTGATGAAAAGCAAGTGAGTTGACTCTGCATTACAAAATCCTTTCTGTCTTTCCCAGATGTTTGTGGATACATCCATGGGAGCGCCTTGCTTGTGTGTGCGCAGCCAGTCTTCCCACGTGTCCCAGCTCACCTGGTGCGCCCTGCAGATGAGGTCCAGGTCGTGCTTGTGAAGAAACTTGGCAACCACTTCCGCTCCGAAGGTGAAGGAAACACCGCGATCATTCTCACCCCAGCCCATGGTGTCCTTGTCGGGATCCGACCACAGCAGATCGCACAGCAGGCCCTGGTCTGGCACGTCCGTGGGACGCATTATCCGTCGGATCTGCTCCATCGACTGCAAGTCTGGGGACAGGCCTGGCCACACATACACATAACTTCATGCAACATCTGTACGTTCCTGCACAATAGTGCTTTGCAAAATACACAACAATCTGGTACGGTTAAAAAGTGATTAAAAAAATTACTGGCCATGCAGTGAAACCTTTATCCTCTATACAAGATTGAGATGACTTTCTTTAGTTTGGCCAATTCAGGAAATTATATTGAATCAACAATTTTAAGCAGGACCCATGTGACTAATTCCTGACCATGGCTAACATCAGACATCACAAGTGCCCCATCCACCCCACTGCTTGACCATTCCAAAGACTAGCATGGTCAAGTATGGTCAAACAACCCCCATTAGACACTGGGGAGGCCCCCATCCAGCAGTAGATTAACATGGGCTTGTTTACAACTACTACATACATACACAATACGCACAGAATATTTAGGGACGAATGCAATACACACACGCGCAATACAAACATAAATACAAAGATCCCCCATATAGCCTTAACCATCCATTGGGACAAAGTACTGTCAGAGACCACTTATGAAGGCCGGGACAAGTGGGTTTGGGTGACCAGCACCACGCCCGATCGCCTTTGTCTCCCCAGTGGCGATGTTTACACACCGCGCCAGGTACTCATTTGAGGCAGACTCGATCTCGGGGAGGCCCGAGACCGGTTCAGATAATTGTCATTGGCCGCGAGAGGGAATCGAACTGTTCCCAGATTCTTAGCACGGTGCACTAACCACTACACACGCACAACTAACTTACAAATGACATACGAACATAAACCAATGATATACTAACACATACATTCAAATATAGGTTAAACATGGCATATGTCGATACCATAACATGCAAATAACCAAATAAAGGCAGTCTGTATGAATGCACACCAAGTAAATTCACCCTCGATTACGGAAACGTGCACGCACCTACAAATGCAAAACACACATTACCAACCCCATCCCATGTCTCGCTTAGGAGTGGGGTGAGGGGGTTACCTTGGTAACGTGACGTGCGTGACCGGACGTCTGTGTTTTATTAATTTAAGTATAAACTACTGCAGTACCCATATCTAGAGAATGGTGGGTTTTTTGTAAACGTCTTTTTCCAGGTAATTTTTTTTATGTAGTTCAAGAGAAAAGCCTTAGCTGTAATACCAACATTGTGAGGATAGGGTTTAAGGTTTTATGGCAGAGATAGGAAGAGATGTATAAACGTGTATTGACAGCCCCAAAACGAGTACTGTAGTTCCCAGCTATGGGAGAAACTAACGCCGTTTTCCAGCAAACACCCTTTCAGGGCAAAACTTAACAAAAGCGACCCGAATATGCTCTGCGAGAAAGCCTGTGCATTGTACAGTATTAAATTATTCGAAAGATTTCTTTAGATTGAGCGGTAACCCCAGGAACACCCACGTGTGCTAATCCTGACACGCAGTAAGCACATCAAGGTTTATACTGCATTCAGCATACAGATTTAAATCACATTCACAAGGCGTCTCACCAATGGCATCGTTACTACATCCATTCAACTCCTCCGCTCGCACGACTCTACGACTGCATGCGCCACACACCCAAAGACATGCGCAACCTTTAAGTTGTCGGCTCACCAAGATTTTCCCGTTTGACCCCCCTTAAGCCAGTGGATACTTTACACCTCGCCACCACCTTCATTGATTGGGTGGCTGCAGGGGGGTTTGCGCACAATGTCCGGGAGCCATTATGGGGTTGAGAAAAAAACTTGTTTGACTCTTCCGTGTTACCTCCATGGCAGCAGAAGATCTTCTCGTCGACGATCGCAGCGATGGGTAGGCAGTTGAAGCAGTCGGTGAAGGTCTTCCAGAGCTTGATGTTGTATCGCCTTTTGCCTGCACAGCGAGCGGCAAAGCTGTTCAATAGCGACCTAATACAAGAAGAATGTATTCTTAAAAAGTTCCGCTGGAGAGATTCGGTCAATGAAAACAACCCGGCCATGTTTGTAACACCCAGATGGCAAATTGCCAACATTTAAAAGACTTGACAAGCCTTTTGTCCAATGTTACAAAACATGGAATGCATCACAAATACATTGAATAAAGTTAAACCCAAACTTGAAAAGTGAGTAACAAGCAAGACACACTGCCACTTTGGAGTGCAAATATCAAGCTATCGCTCGTTTTTTCTTGCTGCCAACAAGCGCGCAAGTCTGCACACCTGTATCAGTGCACTTTGCACGGTACCTTGCATACCAACTGTGCTACAGCGCAAGGCGCAGGGTTTTCCTTGGCGCATCCACCACACACAGGCAATGCCACACAGCCAATTAAAAGTGGCTTACGCCTCACACTCTCATGCCATAAACACAGGTTGGAACCCCACCAGTCTCTACAGGCAAAAAACCCGAGTTGGCCGCACAAACATGCAACAACCCCTCCTCCACGCCGCAGTAAAGGGCTGCATTTTAGTCGCACACAAGAGCACCTTTCCAGCTAAGACAGCTCACACACAAGGCATGTTACCACACCACGGGCCCCATAAACCAAGTTACCGCTGACACACGGCAACTGCAAATAAAGAAATGCCACTCCACACACACAAGGAAACGCACACGCATCCCCAACCCCACTAGAAGCTGGGGTCTCTCTACGTGGCAACGCCCCTGCAGGGGCGGTCACAGGCTCTGTGCAAGTTGGGCCACGGGATTACAGAGGACAGTGTCGCTCGGAACAAATAAATCGTTAAACCTGCACACGTCAGCCGAGGGGGGACAAACTCCCTCTGGCCACCTTGCTGGGACCAGGCACGTGCGCAACTCACACTCGTCATAGAAGCCGTAGATGCGGTTGATGCTGGCGCACTCGTGGTTTCCGCGGAGAAGGAAGAAGTTCTCTGGGTACTTGATCTTGTAGGCGAGCAGCAGGCAGATAGTCTCAAGCGACTGCTTGCCACGGTCAACGTAGTCACCCAGGAAGAGGTAGTTGCTCTCGGGAGGGAAGCCGCCATACTCGAAGAGCCGCAGCAGATCGTAGTACTGCCCGTGGATGTCACCTGGCACCACAACGACACGCAGGGACCCCAGTCATACAGTGCCCCCAGCCATTTTGTTCAGCAACAGAACTGGGCAGAACATATGCTGCGATTTGGCAGTCTTTCCCATCAAATATTGGCAAGTGCCCTTTTGTGTATGAATGAATCGGGCATCTTCGGGTAAAATTGCATCCGATGATGCAATTATCAGTTTCCAAAACAGATTTTAAAACGTTAACATGGAAATGGACCAACACGTGCATGCAATCATGCCCAATATGACGAGAGTCGGGTTGGGAACCCACGCACACACAAGACAACTAAAAAAACAATTCACTTTATTTTTTGCAGCGTTTCCTTCCCTCCGGTAGAACGGAGGCGCCCGCTGTTATATAAAATGAGTCTTGCCTAATCTCCCGGCCCGAGGTGTGGGCTTCCCACCACCACCCACCCACCCGCCGCCTCTCCCACCGTGCGTTACGTCAGTATTTACCGCAAATCTTCAGCGGCGCCTCCAGCTCCAGAAGGATGGGCTGGCTGAGGAAGATCTCGCGGGACTTTAAGCAGAGGCCGCGGATCTCGCCTTCCGTCAGCTGCACGTTCTTGCCTGGTCGCGACCCACGCACTGCGGAAAAATTAAAGTGTGGGTGCGCTTTTAAATTACACGTTCTTCACACTGCACGGCTAACGCGAAACCCCGCAGAGGTGCCGCATACTCTCATCTTCCGCGAGTTGCCACCGTCCCCCACCCACCACAACACACTTAATGACCGCAATGTGCGCATCGCGAGTTCAGATTACGTTTTAAACAGGCACCAGTCGGTTCGCAAAAAGCTCGTCGACACATTGAGTTAAAGCCGCGCGTTGCGGCCAAACGGGGGGCAACATGTTGTTTGCATCGCCCGTATCAAATGGGCTTGATGCGCGCGGATTTCAACAGCGAACGAATTGGAATGGGGGTGGGGGGTACAAACTTGAAACTTCGGCGGCCAGGTTCCGGGTGAGGTTGGGGATAACGCGGAACGGTGAAAGGGGTCGACGCATGAAGGGTGGAATGCACAAAGCTAAACTTGCCGCCAAATAAGGAAGGGACCCTTTCTATATGACGACACTAAACGCCCCCTACCACTACCCCTCCCGTAGCTTCATGTTTAGAGTGCGATTATGGCGTTTTAAAATAAGGTAAAATGCTCATTAACGAGGAACGTGGTGGATCGCTAACAGTTGTGTTGAGCCCTGTGCTCATCATCCCCAAGCTTACTGGGAAATTGATTTCAACGTGGAAGAGAGGGTTTAGTAACGAGACGTTGCCGAAGGGCTCAAAATGAATAAACACCAATTGAGACACCCCCCGTCTGCTCCCAAGTGCAATAAAACGGGAGATTCAGACGAGTTTCAGAACGCTCAAGTCATCCGCAACACGCTTGCCCCCCATTCTAATGGGAATCCTATTCCATTCTTTTAACAGCCGATACTTTCGTCGATTCCATTCACAAAATCGAGTTGTGTGGCGGTTTATCGTCATAATAATTTTCAACTCAAAAACATTAGCAGCCCCCCACACACATCAACATCACACCACCACCAACTCCCCCCTTCCCCACTGTAAGCCATAAATTTTAAGACGTTGTATTTCGCATTATTGTACAGCAGCAGCACACGCAAGGGGCAATAGTCCATTCAATCCTCGCCGTTCCCTCCCCAGGGCCTTCGTTTCCAATGACTTCATCGACCTCAAAACCCGCCTACACCACCACCACCACCCCCTCCAAACGCACAGTAACAAAGCCATGGCTGCCCGCCCAGCCTTCATCAAGCTCCCAATTTTCATTACCCATTGTAATTTACAAAACCGGATTTAGTAAAGGTGGTACTGTAACATCCACCCCCCACCGCCTTTTAAATAACCACTGCTCCACTGTGTCTGTGGGATGGGTTATTTGACAATAATTCTAGATTTGAAGCTTTCGTGACTGCAAGGATTCATACTCTTAGGTTTTTTTTTTACCATACTTCACCACGCTGGCTTAAAAAATGCTGGTGGTTGAAGACGGAGTTGGCAGAGGAGATATACGGTGCACTCCTAGAGATGTTGGCTGTGCTCAAGGGATAATGCAATGGGAATTCAGTCCAGAAATCTTGATTGAATTTAGGCCAGAAGTGGCCCATCATAGCCAAAGCCAAACAATGGATTTGTGAAATAACCCGACCAAACAAAAGATAAACTCCTCCGCACATTTTGTTAACCTGCTTGAGAAATATTTGTTTTAAAAAACCCCCGCAATTTTAACGGTGTACATAGCAGCAAAAGAGAAATACAATCATTGTACATTTTAGATGTTCGAGTAAAGGTTGCTAGTTAAAATGCCCCACACCACCATGACACCACCGGTATTAAACCACCACAGTAGTTTCGCTCGAACAATAAAACATTTTTTTTCGGAGGTTAACGCTTTTAACTCTTAAGCCTTTCCGTGTTGTTCCAAAAAAATAAATCCACATTTGAGCCTCGCTTTAAACGCAAAGAATAAACATTTAAAACAAAATCCCCACGTCCATTTAAGGGCGTTAAAAGCCTCAGCGCGATCCGAGCGCCGCGTTACCTCCACACAGCGAGGCGACATCACATTAACTCACCGATTTAAAACAAAGCACCCGCTCATCACTCACTATAAACAACAACGTAGACCACATTTACAAGTTAAAAGCGTTTAAAGTTAAACGCGACGCGGTTAACGCCACTCGGTTTTAAGGAAGGCCTTAGGGTGTTGAACCACAAAAAACGAAGCTTTTCAACCTTTCGACCCCCGTTTTTTTTCAAATAAACAATCGCGAACGAAGCACCCACATGTGACGGTGTAAAGAATATGTATAAATAGTTATAATTACAAGTGCTGTCGTTACCTTCGAGCAACCGCGCTATGATGCTGTCGATGTTCAGTTTGTCGGCGTCTGCCATTTTCTCAAAAACTGGGCCCCCCCCCACTGGCACCAACCCCACACCACAACAAAATAAAAAGCCTTTAAACGCCTAACACACAAATTTAACTATTAGCACTGTCGCTTTACGCATACGTATATCGATTTGTTACAGATAAAAAAAAATGGCAGACGGATGTATTGCCTCTACGCGCGTGTGTATTAGTTAAATGTTTAACCCACACACGCTACGGCAATTGCGGCTTGTTGGGGAGATGAGTTGGTTTCGTCGACTAAAACTAACGCGGTTGCTGCGAAGAAGACGACGACGACGATGAAGACGACGACGACGATGATGGTGGTGGTGGTGGTGGAGGCGGGAAAGCGGCAGCGTCTTTCAAGAGACGACGGAGAGAGAGAGAGGGCGGAGGCAGATTACAAAAAAAGAGAGCCGCTCAGAAAATGGCAGCCGTTAGGGCGCGGATTAATACACGACGCGCGCTGCCCCCACCCCCACCCGCCCGCGCGAATGAAAGTAGTGCGCGTCTCCCCCCCCCCCTCTCTCTACGCACGCCCAGACTAGCCCCGCCTTCCACTGCCACTAGCCACGCCTACACGTCCCGCAGGCCCCTCCCCTACACCACCGCCACACCCCCCACAAGAAATCGATTCGCAAGAATCGATCCGCAAGAATCGATTCGCAAGAATCGATTTCTTTATTCTTGGTTCTATAAAATAAAACGTAAAAAGAGAAAATTTTCACAATAGTGATAATTTTATCATCTTCTTGGTTTTTTCGGTGAAGTCACGTAGAAGGGAAATAATAAAATAATAAAAATAAAACATTATAAAATACAATTCTCACGACGTTTCGGCCACAACGCAAGCAGCCGTCCTCAGGTGAATAATTTTATCTTATTATGTAATATTTTTTATTAATTTATTATTTCCCTTCTACGTGACTTTACCGAAATAACCAATAATATGAATCCATGCAGTCACGAAAGCTTTACATCGACAAAAATCGATTTCTTTGTTTTGGGACAAATTCATTGTTTTGGTCAGAATGATCAGAATATTTATTGAGACTGCAGGAATCGGATGACCTGTTAAGCTCTTTTTCACAAATGTACCAAGTAGTCGGGGATATAATTGAATATATTTAATTTAGATAATTTTGCTGCTGTAAATTTCCACTTGATAAGCCACTTTCGTTGAGCTATATCTATCATGTGTGGCCCAGGTCGCTTCTGAAAAAAATAACTGTATAGAAGCTCAGTGGGCCTGGTAAAATAAAAAGTACAATTTTCGTTTCGATTTAAAGCTTTCGTGATTGCAGGGATTCATCTTCTTGGTTCTTTCGGTAAAGTCAAGTAGAAGGAAAATAATAAAAATAAAACATAATAAAATAAATCTCACGACGTTTCGGCTACAACGCAAGCAGCCGTCCTCAGGTCGTGAGAATTATTTTATTATGTTTTATTTTTTATTATTTTTTTCTACTTTACCGAAAGAACCAAGAAGATAAAGTTTTCGTGTTACACGAGAATCGATACGCGACTAGTCAGCGTGGGATAAACTCGTAGATTCCTGAATCGATCCAAGCCGCACCCACTCGACCACCCCGCCCCCGGGAGCAATGACGTCACACGGAAACGGTGGCGTCGCGCGCACCAACCACCTTCCGTCGACGCGATTGGCTCGTTTCAGGATGTTACGTAGGAGGTCGCGCGTCGATGATTGGGCAATCGGCCGATTTTGTACCGAACGCCCCTCCCCCCGGCCTGGTACTAACCCCGCCCATCTTATTAGCATACAACACCCCGCCCATAAAATTAGCATACCACACCCGCCCATCTCATTAGCATACAACGACCCGCCCCCTTCATTAGCATACAACGACCCGCCCCCTTCATTAGCATACAATGACCACGCCCCTTCACTCAGCATGCACGAGGCTTTATCCCAATGGTGAGCGCCCTCAGGGTGAAGGCGGCTCACCACTTCCCCGATCAAAGAAGGCCACGGCACTGTGCCGTTGCGTTTGTTGACGGCGGATGGAGGAGCAGCGGCGCTTTAATTCATCGTCGGTTAATGACAGCGCCGAGGAGGGCTCGAAGCCGGTTTCGTTGCGAGAAAATGCCCACGGATCGCGTGAAACGTGCGAGCCTTCGGACGTTTTCTCCTTCCTTACTCGCCCCTAAGCGAACGTGGCGACCCAGTCGAGACGCCCGATTGTTTGCGCGACAATTTTCGCCGTTTAAGTGAAGCCAAGTGTCACTTTTGTCGTAAAACGGACGCGGATTTTTTTTTTGTGCCTCCGCGAATCGGAGGCCGCGGTATTGAAATGGCGGCCGGAGGAGCCCCTCCCCCCCTCGTCCACCACCAAATCCGGTGTGACGTCACATCCCATGACGTCACGGGACGAGGCCCACCACGTGACCTTGCACTGCCCTCCCCACCTCCACCCATCCCCCATGGTTCAGGGTCAAATATTCCGGTCACCACGTGCACTCCTTGAGCCAGAGCCCTCGCAAGTCAAACTATAATCTACTTTGCTCTTTGGTGCTTTCGGTAAAGTCACGTAGAAATAAAATAAATTAAATAATAGCATACGATGTTTCGATTGCAACACAAGCAATCAATCATTGTGTTGCAATCGAAACGTCGAATGCTATTATTGAATTTACTTAACTTTCTACGTGACTTTACCGAAAGAACCAAAGAGTATTTCCTGCAGTCACGAAAGCTCCAAATGAAGTTTATAAACTATTTTATGTCACCAGCTCAGACCCACTGAACCATATAGCTCTCTTTTTTGGAAGCGAACTGGCCAAAAATGATAGCTCAACTCAGTGGCTTATATCGTGTGGACATTTATAGGAGCAGCCAAACACTCTAAACGATGTTGATTCTAAACTTGGAGGGGAAAACCGGGAGGACCCGGAGAAAAAAAATCCACGCGACCACGGGGAGACAAACGTGCAAACTCGAAATAATACAGCAGGCGGTCAGGGTGTGGATCGAACCACACGACCTCCTGCAGACCAGGCGAGGTAGTTAACATCTCATAGCCACCGCGGCGCCCCTTATCATGCCAGTCTGGTTAGAAAGCAGTCCCAACTGGTCACCCTGCAGCATGTTTAACACAAGCCTGCCTGCCTGCCGATAAAGACAAGAGGCGGTTGCAACAGATCCAGAGGAGTTTGCATTGGTTGCTTAAACAGATTCTGCCGACTGATATATTTGTGTGGAAAGGCAATACTTGTATGCGCTATGAAGAAGGGGCATTGCCCGAAACGTCGCCTTATATAGTTTTACATTTAAGGCGTGTTGACGAATGTGCTGAGTCTTCTGTTATTTATGCACCACTGCCAAGTCAGCAGCAAGCAGCATAACCAAACAATGGGTTTAATACTGTCGGCTGATGGACGAAAACAGTTCCATTTTTACCGTATGTGGGGATATAGAACGCAGCTCTGCTACAACGTATTTGTTTCTACCTGTGCAGATTATTGACCGATTTACATGCTCGCTGATATATTGCTCGTGGCCTGGGGGTCATAGGTTGCATTCCCAACCTGCCGTGGCAGGTGAAGGAGCATCGTGGTTACGTCGGAATGTAAAAGGCGAGACATACCGTTCTGTTCTTGCTTAAGTAGCTTCCCACCCACCTCGTTAATGTAGAGCAGGCGATTCATACAATCCGTGCGCAGAGAACACCGATCCAAAAACACCCTCTGCGCTGTTAACCAATTATGACATCTGTGAAGCTAATGGCTCAGTGACGCTTTATATGTGGAAAAAGTGTTTTATTTTAATATTATTTAGCGATTTGTTTACCTTTTCTATACCTTTCACTCATATCCTATCGTGTTGTTGCATTGTTTGTTGTAACCTTCTGAGCTTTATAGCTCATCGGATTCCTCCAGTAGAAATCAAGATTCTGAAATCCGATAGGGTACCCCCTAATCAGCTCTACCCAAACCTGCCCCCCCGTCATCATCAGTGCCTCCGTTGAAAAATCTGAGCACACAAATGTGCAAGAATTACTTGGCGATGGGACATGGAAATAAACCAAAAATATAAACATCGATATAGCAAACACTCGATGTTTTTAATGAAAACATCGGTGTACACTAAAATATCCGAAGGCAAACATACACGATGTTTTCGAAGACATAAAACATATTTACAGGAAATATGATATGGAAATATTCGTAAGAGATGTTTATTATCCCCCCTCCCAAATAATAATGAATAATTAATAAGTAAAATGGCAAAACATCTAATAAAAACCACTAGGTTGTTGTTGCTAGGTCAAAACTTTACTTAAAGATTCAGCCTCTATAGTTTACACACCTTTCAAGGGCATTGGTGGAGGAGGCCGTGGATTTGTATTTGTCAGTTTTACATGAAGGTGGGCCGGCTGGGATATTTGAATATTTCGGATTTTTGGATTTGGAAAAACGCAACGTTGAAAGGAAATCATCAATACCAAAACATCGATGTTTTTTGCCCACCATCGCATATTTAACTTGGGCGACGGACCTTCAAAAGGTATAATAAACCTTTTAAATTAGTGGGCTTAAGACTTAAAAAAAAATTGGTTGCTTCACAGTCAAATACTGCACGTGGAGTAAAGAAATCTCCATGCCAATACAAAACACAGTATACAGTACTCTCATGTCTATGACCAAGCCATTCGGAACGTTCCCAATCTCATCAGATCTTACAATCTTAAGCAGGGTTGAGCCTCAATAGTGGTTGGGTGAGTGACCGCCATGCACATCAGGTTGTTACAGGATAGCTGGATGGCTAACGTGACGAACAAGACAAGAGGCAGTGTTTTCGAAAACAATAATCCATTGTTTTACTGTGCCTGCATGCATGCTGCCCGCCTGCAACTTGCAGCCGTGAAATGTCATCGAATAAGCCTCCAACAATTAACAACAGCGTGGGAGAGTTCTTCATTCAGGAGGAGTTTGACAAAAGAGATGTACTAGCACGCATACCGAATACCAACAATGTATCATCAAAAGAGCCCCGTAAAAGTTCATTACTACGTGCCCCGGTGTGAATCTGAGACCGGGTGGCTTAAGCAAAGGCATACGTGGTGTTTTAGGCAATGACACAGTTACGGATTAAACCAAGCCCTTCACAGGGCAACCCCATTCTCATGATGTACCCACTGCCTCCCACGTGCTCTGATGTGGCTAGATGTTAACTATCTCGCCTGGTATATAGGAGGTCGTGGGTTCGATCCCGACCCTGACGCCTGCTGTATATTTGGAGTTTGCGTGTCTCTCCTCTCATCATCACGGTGGCTAAGAGATGTTAACTACCTCGCCTGGTACACAGGAGGTCGTGGGTTCGATCCCGACCTTGACGCCTGCTGTATATTTGGAGTTTGCGTGTTCTCCCCGTGGTCACGTGGATTTTTCATCGGTTCCTC